CAGATGGAGAAAACCTTCCTTATCAGATCATGATGGAACATCTATTCTGAGCCAGTGTCCTACAACACAGAGATCCATCACAGTCCATAACACACATAGATGTATGATCTATATCACACGATCATGCTTTTATTTGAAATCTTCAAATGTACAGTTTAAAGGCCTATAAAATGAAACTTCTGTCATTTGCTCCAAACCAAATATAGATGGAGTCTTGGAGCTTACAAGCTTAAAAAAAAACATGCAAAAGCAGATGTATTTATATGACTCCTGCATTATATGTCCTATATTTTGTGAGAAACGTACACAAATGAAAGCTATGATAATCTTCAGTGAAATTAGCCACCATGACCAAATCACAGAGTCAGTGAGTCAAACTCGAAAACCTTATCAGACCAAATGAATCATTCAGACCACTTTTGTGGACAAGGACCTCCACAATACAATAATTTGTTTAATTGGACATCATCAGTTTTCATGTATAGGCTATTGCCAAAAAAAAAAAAAAAAGCTAGGAAAGATGTTTGGTTCAGTCTGTTCTTTAATGGCAAACTTACTGTTATTTTATGGCATCAGAGGAGTCATATGAACTACTTTTGTGAAAGCTCCAGTCCGCATTATTTGTAGTTGCATGGAAAAAATGGCCAGTGCATTATTTGAAACTTCTTTTGTGTTCCACGGAAGAAAGAAAGCCTTGGTTTGGAACGACACGAAGGGTGAGTAAATGATGACAGAATTTTCATTTGTGGATGAACTATTCCTTTAGGTTAAAAGAAAATGATTTCCGTTTAACGTTCGCCTGGCTTGTGGTTGTTGGATTTAAACGGCTCCCACTCTTTCAGCTGCATTGTAAGTGCCCTCACAGCTCTTTGATGCAGTGCTTTTGGTAATTGATGTGCTCTGTAACGTGGGCACGGTGGAAAAAAGGCTTGGGGTGGGGGGGGGGTTGGGGTGTGGAGTAGATGCATGAATTTAAATAAAGCTTTGGCTGTAAGTAACTGCAGGAATGAGATGCATTTTTTTTTTTTTTTCCTTTTGGCTGACTTGACTGAGAGGCGTTTGATTTATCCTCACGAGGAGCTGAGCGCTGGCTCGCCTGTCCCGCTTATTTACTCTCCGCATTGCTCTGCTGGGTATTGGCCAGTTATTTACTGCAAATGGTCGCGTTGGTGCGAGATGGGAGAAAATTGGGCTCTTATTTATTTATTTATTTTTCAATTAAAAGTGGCACGTCAGAACAGAGATTTAAAGGTTCCGAGGGATCCGACGCTCTAACCGTGCCGGGGCCTAGGAGGCTTTCCAATATTGCTTTGTTGTCGACTGTCTCTTTAGGAATTCAGAGACAGGCTGCTGGAGTGGGATCAAGGTGTTTGCCTCTAAAATGCCAGCACAGTTTTTACCAATGACTATAAAACAGTCAAAAGACTAATATCTTTGCTTATGAAGGTCACTTTATATTTAGATTTTTCTAATCAAAAAAACCAACTTGTGTAGTTTTGTAGATCTGTCAGTGTTATCTGTGTAAAGTGTTCTGGAAGGCCCCTTAATTTCCTCTCACAGACATGAAGCTGGGTAGAAACGTGGCCCGGACGTTCCTGGATTACTACAAGCTGAACAACCTGACAGATGAGAGCAAGCACACAGGACACATTAACAGGTGACTAATCTTTTGTTTGTTTTCCTTATTCTTATGAACATCTCCTTATAAATAGCTTAAATTGTTTGATACCAATTATGGCTAACTTTCATGTTTTCCTTCACATTATTTCTTATGAGAGCAACTAAACTGTTTTGCTTCTGAAAATTCTCCTACTTCAGTTTTCTTTAAAAAATATATTTTATTTTTTAATTTTTTTATGATTTAATTTTATTTTAAGCTAATTTTATTAGCTTTTAATCTCACAAACCCCCTGCAGTTCCCTCATGAACAACCAGGGGTTCCTGCTTTAAATTATCATATAAATGGAAACATTACATTTTAAAACATATTATAGTATGTTCACCACGCACACTCCTTCACCGAATTAACTGATTGTCTCGTACTAGAAATCCTGTCACATGCTTTATTTTGTGTACGGTTGTCTAGAACAGAAGTTCTCAACTTCTCGAGGTCCACTTTACTGCATACTTTAGATCAAACTCACCTGCTGTAAGCTTTCTAGTAATCCTGAAAACCATGATTATTTTGATAGTCCACTTTAGACAGCCTAACTATAAGTAACTTTGCAGCTACATGTCAACTAACTCATTAACTTAACTATACATGTCAACTAACTCTCATCTGAGTTAAATGTTAAATTAGGGTTAGTACAGTAAGTTGACATGTACTTGCAAAGTTACTTATAGTTAGTGTTGGGGGACCATCAAAATAAAGTGTTAGCAGATATTAAACTCTTTCCCCGCCATTGACGCAATTTTCCGTCATTTAAGAGACAACACTTCCCTGGCATTGATCAAATGTTTATGGCTATCCATGTTTTCGCTGTTACACATCTTATGAAAGAGTACAGAATCTCTGGATCCAAAAACAAGCAAAAAAGAAGCAGAAACAAGCGATAGAAGCATTGCTTATGCACATGTAAGCTCGCGCGATCATTAAACGGCATATAAATCAAAACTGTCAAACGTTACCGAATGAAATGTCGAATCCAGGAAGTATAGGACTGTGAAGCTTTGGGGGTGTTGATGGACACAATCTACTCCATCTGTTTTGACCATCGTTATGGATCTGATCCGGACGTAGTCTAAACAAAAACGAGATGAGAACCCAGATTTGAGTCTAGAAACAATTCTGATTCTGACAAAACTCCTCTAATAAACATACGTTATGTCTTTCAGCACTTCCGATGGAACATCCACCAGTCATCAAGGAAACTATACTGGAAATGGGAAGGTGAAAGGGGACAGAAAGCCCCATGGAGTCAGGGACTAAACACACAGGGAACGGGAACAGTCCACTTGCAAATTACGTTTTCATATCAGCCCACAGCAATCCACCATGGTATTTGTTGTGTATGTTTTTATGTGATGATAGGACTCAACGACTGAATAAGTCTTCAGTATTAATTCTAACTTGTGAGATATTGCACAGAGAAAACATCAACTGTAAATTATCCCACCGGCTACATTTATTGCTTTTTCAGTGCTTTGTTGAATACCAACTATTTTCTTTGCCTTGCTCTTGGAGTTGCCTATTATAAGAACAGAAATTGTATTCCACTCAGCTGTACTCATTCTGATAAAGTGATTACTTTTATGAATTATTTAATTGTCTAGATAGTCATCTTTAGTTGTTTGTTCAAATCTGAATGCTTGAAAATTGCTTAAATATAAAGCAATTGACCTGTAATGTTTTATTATATTCATGCTTTGTGTTCAGAAATTTGCATCTAATAAAGTGATAAAAAAAAAATGTTTTATCTATTTCATTATTTTTTATTTTTTTGATGAAAAATTGCTTTTCAGTGTCTTATTAAGAGCTTATATTGAGAACCAGCAGAAGTAATTTTGAAATGCTATTAAAAAACAATGCATTTTTAATCCTCTCATCATAGTCTCAAGTTGATAAGCATCAACATATTTTTCTGCTGTTCACCAAAGTACTCTAATACGGAGTCTGTTAAGCCTGTAACAGTGTTTCCAAACAAAGTCTGATCTGTCCACACTCAACAAACACTCACAACACAGTGTGAGGGGGCCAAAATACAGAATGGCTCAAGCTATCATTCAAGAAGTGTGAAAAGCAGCATGTATTTTTCAGGCCAGTCATTCGGAATAACTGAGGCAATCCGTCAGAAAAGGCAAAAACAAATTACTTGCATTTTAGATGGTTGAAGAGAAGATGGCGAGAGCTAATGTGAATGAGAAAACACATCCATCTACAGATTCTCGACAAACACACACACACACAGGTAATGGCGCTGTCATACCTAAAAGCCTTTGTGCTTATGGAGAGTCTCACCTCCCCACTGCGCTGTCATTTTAACCAGAGCCTCGAACCATTAGTCCCTTATGCTTGGCTCACCTCACTGCCACAAACACATCCTAATTGCCCTTAGGCTGGTGTGAATTGTTTGCATTTCCCTTCTTAAACATTGACATGGTCCATTCCTGTGCACAAGTTAACTGGCCTCAGTGATTCTCTGTGAGGTCTGTCCCTCAGCACTAACGGTGGTATGGTTCACTTCGAGGGCAGATCCTTCACTGGACAGCATTTTAAGCTGCTTAAAACTGAGTCTTAGTGAACCACTGTAATTTCTTCCATTTTTAGAAATTTCTAATTCTGTTCACCCTGTATGTTTTGAGAAACAGTCATTACTTTTCTATAGTAATACTGAATGTGTCCTCACTCGTCACTTTAAATGCAGCTGTTTTTAGGACCAAACACTGTTAACGCTGCATTTTCTTACCAACTCTTTAAAAGATTCACTTATGTCAAAAGTTGGCACAAATCTTAGGCTGACCATTCAGCCCCAATGTTTGTCCTACCTAAATCTATTTTGTTTTTATTTAAATTATTCACTTAATCCAGTTAATGAATTAGTTTTATTATTATTAACAATAATAATTACAATCATTATTATTAATAATATGAAATGTAGGTTATGATGCTTTAGTTTTAACCATCAACATGATAATGAGGAATCATACTTCTGAATATATATATATATTATATATTTTTATGTGGGAAAAAAACACATTTTTTATATGTTTTATATGTGTAGATGTTTTTCATGTTGGTTTTAAACATTTACAAATATAGACAGGAGGTACATTAGGATGAACAGAAAATAATTAAAACAGAAATAAACATTTAAAAAGTTTAACATTACAAGTAAACATTTACATCTCATAACATACATGTTAACAACTAATTTTACAACTTCCTTATTTTTCTACTTTGAAAAACTTTGTTGAAGACAGTAAAAGAAGCTTATTTCCCCCATATTTATTTTGTCACTTGATAGTGTCGTCATTTCCTCTCAGTTTCACGGCCACTTGGGCTGTTGTGTTGTCATAGCAACCAAGTTTAAAAACCATGGGCGGACTGACACCGCCCAAGAAGCCTTCAGCCTCACAAATGCGACAAAAAGCGCTAAAATGCACGGTCGAATTGGAAATCCAAGCTGTGAGTATATTACCACGCGTCCCATTCTCAACAAAAACAAAAATATTCAAATTTGCATGTGTTATGAATCGGAGTTTTCGTGCTAGCATACTGTTAGCAACAAGTTGCTATCACGGAGGATCAAGTCAGTCCATCAGACATCAATCAAAAAGTTGCAACTAGCAGAAACATGTTAATAAACACTCCTGCATTCACTCCAGCCTTCGAAGTGTTAATTAAAAACAATGCACAAGCAAAGATCCTTGATTTTCAGCCAAGCTCTTAGCATCTATTTAGAGCTTTTGCTTTTGTTTTGCATGACGGTGGACTGTTATAGCGCATCATTATTTTGAGAGAAAATATCTACTGCAGGATTTTTTTTGATACTGTAACGATAATCAAAACGATCACACGACAGACTAATTCATACTAAAACGTAACTAGGAATAGGAAGTGCTTGCTTTACATTCGGAGATAAACAAGAATGTAAAATTAAAATGAATTGATAGTTAATATTTATCAGGTAAATCCTATAAAGTGGATATTCAAAACTGTTTATCTGCAGGCATTATTGTGTTTCTGTCAGACAAAAAGAAAGAACGGTATAAGGATGTTGGCAACAATAAAATGATTCAAAAATAATAAATATTTTAAAATGTAACGTTAGTTGTTGTTTTTTATTAACGTTGGTTTCATGAATAGCGTAAAGTAAATTAACCCTAAATTATATTTCTCAAGGAGAAATATATATATATATATGTATAACTTTGAGCATTCTAGCATTCTGCCCACTTTGAATCAGACAGATATATAGTGCGTAAGATAGATTACATTTATTTTAATGAATAAATGAATTATAGCATTTATTTGAATTCATTTTGGAGAGAGAGAGATGAGAGATGTGTGTGTGTGAATTACCTTCATCTGTTCAGTGTCTCTATTAACAACAAAGCGGTTTAAAGTTTAAAGAGTTTAAAGAGAATAAAGCTATCGTCAAGTAATATTTACCACAGGCTTTATTTTACATAAATCGAAAACCCCCATTATAAAACCCCATAGGAAAATCTCGAAGGAACCAGCAGCGAATTACTCTTCCGGGTTTTGGCATCATACCTGCACTACTCTATATTGCAGTGCTTATTATAAATGATTTATCCGCGTACATCATTATTTTGTTAAAAATTCATGTGCCGGCGTAATCTTTAATCAAAAACGTTAACCTCTCCTTCCCCTCGAAACGACTACTAAATGGGACTAAATATCCTCCACAACTGACTACAAACTGGCATTCAATCTGCCTCCATTTAGTTAGTAAAGCCCAACTTCCTATGATGCAATCAATTCCCAAAAGATGAAATCAAGTCCCGTCCTACATTTTTTCTCGTTACAGAAGCTGTTTCACTCTGATATACATCACAATAGAGATGATGATTGAACTTCTGTTTCATGCCAACTTTAATATTTTTGTGGACAAAGTAAAATGCTTAAATGTGCACAAAACTAGAAAATGTGTTGTGAAACCTACTGATGACTAAATGTATGCCTCACATTCCATGAAAGATTATATAACGGTGTAAAATTAGGTATAAAATGTGTTTCCTCCTATAGATCACTTGTCCAGGGGTGGTGTTACCATCCCAAGAGGACATGTATGTTAGTGTTCGGATAATGGGCCAGTACCAGAAGTCCAAGTGTGTCCCTCCGGTTTTCCCTCTGCTGTTGCATGAAAAAATGGTGTTTGTGAAGGTGAGACTTTATCAAAACGACTTTAATTAATTTTAGCCTTTGACATATGCTATCTTACTATTTGTCTTTCTTTGTTTTCTTTCCTCTCCCAATCTCTTCAACAGACCTTTGTGGGAATGGTTGACCCGGGTGCTGTAGCCGAGCATCTGGAGAGTAAGAATCCTTTGTGCTGTTTCTAAGTTTGTCCTGTGTTCTTTCATAAGCCTCAGATCAATAAACTTATACCTTTCCATCATGTTTGTGTCCTCCACTGCAGATGATACAACATCTTTAGAGCTCATTCAGCTGGTTCCTCCAGGTAAGATCCCACATCCATTCCAGCTGTAACACTAACAGATATTTGAGTCTGTAGATTGAGTTCTCCACCATAGTGCTGTAAACTAAAAAAACAATACATTTGAGCTCCGCTTTGATTGAAGGCTCCAGCTTTTGCAGTCTATGCAACCAACGGCTGAATTCTCAAACCTGCTAGTACAATTTCAAAAATTAAACAACATCAGCAAGGGAATACATACATTATTGGACCGAGCACTCCCATTACTGTATGCATAAATCATGCTGCTTTCGATGGAGGTCTCTTGGGCTGAGATTTTTAATTTGCACACAATCTGACACTCGTTCGTTTCTGTTGCTGCGTTATTGCTTTAAAACGCAAAGAAACAGCTTTATTACCCTGAAACAACTTGATTACCCAGAGCTGTCAAGAAAAAGGACAGAATTCACCATTCCATCATGTATTTTTCATTTGATCGTGCAGAGGGTGAGATCCTGGCCACGTTTGAAGACGACACCCGGGAGTTTCTGTATCCAGGCCCTCGTTTGAGTCCCAGAAGCCCCGGCCCAGAGAGAGAGATTCTGATGAAGAGATCCATCTCCTTCCCCGTGCGTGTGTCTTCCTTTCAGCGTTTTTGTCATATCTCTGATGCATCTTAAAAGCCCGTCCCATTTTCACGCTATTTGCTTGAAGACGTAGATTGTTTTGGTAAATTGATCTGCCAAGAGTGTTATTATCTGCATTTGCCCTCTGTCTTTTCATCATCCGAAAAGTTTAGTGATGCTTTTTTTTCCCTTCTGCTCCTGTCTCTCCTGTCTCGTTCCCCCAGGGAATCTCTCCCAAAGTGGAGTTCTCAACGACGTCCATTATTGAGGAGTGTGATGTGAAACACGGTCAGCCTGCCATGTCTGTAAGTCTCTGGGCTTTTGTTATTGCCATTATATTGCAGCTGGTATTAGCTCCGTTCCAAAAGCTAGCGTACTGCCTCGCCTGCCTACATAGGCAGCTGCCTTTTAAGGCTCCTGGCTTCTGGAACGGCCGCACGATGCTGCCCCTCGTTATGTTTTGGAACAGAGCAATTATCTGTGATGCTAAATGAAAAGAAACGCTGAGGTTTAAACGAAAAGGATCAAATGACTTTCGTGTAACGAGGCTTTTCTTAGATGTATGTGGGAGTATGATGGGTCTCCCTGTCAATCAAACTGCCTGTTGCCATCTGTGCCACTTGTTCTGTTTGCTGCTGTCCTTCTAGTGGCCTCACACCCCCTTTCAGGATGTTCTTTTTACAATGCAGGTAATTGCAGAGAATTGGCTCGTTTCTACCCGGATCGGCGCTGATCAGTTGGACTTGACCGGTCCAATTTGTTTCTTCCATTACATGCTCGCAGCAGACCCCTCGTTCCATTTAGAATCGCTGATTGAGTCTGCATCCTTCATGTCAAGTTTCTCAGACCCTCGTTAGACCGCTTCTGCTGTTGACCGTCTCGTCAGGCCCGTTTCATGTGCGATTCAGTCGTCCCTTTGTGGATGTCTCTAGTTCGGACTTGACACGGCATTCTGTAAAGCGGCGTGATTTGCATGCATTTGAACGCCGTTTGTTTCTTGTTTAATAAGCTACTTGTGGTGCTGGCTTTGTTGTTTCAAGGACATCCGGCTTTATCTCCCATTACCAACACCAGCCGAGCCACTAATCACATCAGACAAGCGCGACTCCTGCTTTAAAACGGCCTCTTTGTCCTCCCCCCGTCCAAAGAAAAGGGAAGAAGAGAGAGAGGGAGAGAGAGAAGAATAAAAGGAGAAAAAGCCACTTAGTTTAATTTCATTAAATCTCGACTCTTCAAACAGCAATCGCTATCAGGATTTACTTTTTTCTTTCTCTGTTTTTTAAAAATGACTTAATATGCCAGGATGTTCCAATTAGCATTTAAATTATCGTTGTTTTTTACATCCATGTAATGCCATTATCATATTAGGTTGAGGCCGGCCATCAAATGCAATTAACATTTTTAAAAACGTATTTACCAAGGCAGCGCCTGCAGGAACAGAGTTATTGGGGCTCAGAATTATGTTAGCTGAGATTAGAGTTATTGAAGTCATTTGCCTGCAAAGGTAAGATTGGAACACTGAGGAAAGGTTTACATCAGGTTACATGTGTACATAACAAGGAAATTAGTGGATTAGCACCGTACGAACAGAAAGACGTTCGCAATATCCCTACAATAAAGCGTGACCTTATACTCGCTTCCTCTGGGATCTTCTTTTCTTTCTTTTATTTTAAAGGTGAAGAGAGTGTAATTTCTGTACCACTAGTGGCACCAGACAGAATTATGATTGTTTCCAAAAATATGGGGGACCATGCAATACTATTAAGGGATTTGAACAGACACCGAACCCTAAGTATTAATTCTGGCTGTGGACGTGAATGATATCTCAGTGGTGTGCTATTTCTTTTAATAATCAAATCAATGTTTTATTCCTGGCAGATGATAAAATGGGCAATAAAAAACATTTAGGGAAACACAATAATATATAAACAGGTGTGGGTAGTCCTAGCAACTCCCTAGTCACCACCAAAAAACACCATAGCAACTGCATAGCAAATCAATATGCTAATAAACATAGATCATCTTAGTAACCACATAGCAACCATACACAATACCCCTTTACATCTTCTTCACAAAATGTAGTTATTTTTCTGTTTGTTTTCTCTTTGAGCTTCTGCATGTTTTAAAAGTCATAATTTAAACAAAATATTATTTAGTTTGACCTCACTATGCTTCATGTACAACTGTCGGTGTGTCATCATAGTATTTATTGATGTTTATAGAGTTTTATTTTAATTAACGGTTTAGTATTTTTATGTGCTTTTGATATCTTTATTCGATTTTTTTTTCTTTAATATTTCTATTTAGCTTTAAAGTCACCAACATTTTTTATTTTTTTCTGTGCAACATTTTTTTTTATCATTATTCATGCGCCCTCATAATCTTTAATCAAAATAACTTCCCCTCCCTCTTGCACTGGCATCTCTTATCTTCTCTGATGACGTGTTTACTAGTGTGACGGCGGGACAACCTGTCACTCACATAACATCAAATGACAACATCCAATCATTTCCTAATGGACAAAATCAAGTCCCGCCTTACATTTTTAGTCGATATACTGTACATCACAATAGGGAATTGTCATTTTATTACTTTAACATAAGCTCATTTCTAAATTTCATTTAAGTTTTTTAGCTTTAGTTTGAATTTTTCATCTTACATTTATATTTGATTTTATTTCAGTTGCCAAAAATGATTTTGTTTTATAGTTTTAGTTGAAATTTTAGCAAATTGATAAAAATTAAGTGAATATGTCTTTATTCCTATCCAGTTATGCAATCGTTCTTCTACTAAGCCCTGTCGTGTGAGAACTTGCCCTGCAAATGCAAAGAAGAAACCAGACAGAGCGCCATCCTGCGGATACGAAAAGCCAACAGTGGCGTCCCAAAGTCGTGCTCCTTCACCCTACACCCACCGCAAGATGTGTCAGCTGTCCGAGGAGGCCAGACAACGACTCAGTCACGTCAAACTGGGGCCATACACATTTAAGAAAGAGACGGTCCCTCAGGCTCCATTCGTGGTGGGTGAAATTGAATGATAAAACGGAAGCAGCGTTTGAGTGTTCATGGGGATACAGAACATTAGCTCAGGTCAACTAACATGTATGTGCTTATATTTGTATTATATTTTTATACCTGTGAAACTTTTATTATTTACAATATTTCCTCTGTGAAGGCGTTGATTACAGGTGACAGACAGCCGTGTCAAAATCTCCACCCGTTTTCTTGACTGAAGTAAAAACATCAATTCTCCTGCTTGTTTATTTTCCCGTGTTTTCAAAAAACAACAGTACGTCCCGGGGTGCAAATATCAAAGCTGTCATTGTGTAAAAGGCAGCTCTTGGATTTGTGTCTGATATCATCATGGCATTTTCTGTCACAGGCCTTTTAAAAATTGGGTAGCCTTTTCAAAGGAAATCCCCAGGCCACAATTAACCTAAGTAATTAAGAGTCAGGCCGTGATTAGCAAATTCTTCCCTCTTATTTCAGCAGATTAGCTCGCTCGGTTTATGTGTGTTTAAAGTCAGCACACTTGTTTTGCATGAAAACTTAATAGCTTGTTTCATTAACTCGCATGGTCACTTTACTATTTAGATGAAGAAGTGCAAACGGACTAATTGAAGTCTGAGAGTTGAGTTTATACAGACACCTGAGTCTGAGTAACTTCCCTCTTAAGTTTCTCCTCACTTTCACCTTCCAAGAGAAGTGATTAACTGTGAAATGAAAGTCAAATTCATTTGAATAATCAATGCTCTGTGTGTCAATGGAGTGTTGATGCATGTCGCTTCACCTGCTAAATCAGAGATGAGCGATTATTTATCTTTTAATGGGCAACGTAGCTGATTGAATCTTCTGTTTGCAGGTGCCCCGAAGCCCAAACGCGTCACTGATGTCCCCCACGACATGTGGTCTTACATCTCAGTCTGCTACTAAAAAAAGCCCGCTACAACTGCGATCACAGTGCTACACAGCAAACCTCACAGGTCACTATGATACTGTTGATACTCACCCTCATGTCACACCAAGCTTGTATGACTTTCTTCTGTGGAACACAAAAGATATTTTGAAAAAATGTGTTGTTTTGGACCCTTACTGACTTTCATTGTGTATAGGGAGAAATAATAAAAACAGTTATTTGGGTCAGAAAGATTTTTTTTAAAGAAATTTTAGCAAGGTATAAAAACTGTCAACTCAACCTAAAAATTTAGATTTTGATAATTATTCGTCTGGTGAAAAAAATACATAAATGAAGAAGAAAGCCAAAATATTAAATGTCATTAATGTATATTTACGAAATAATCCACTATTTTGTAGAGGGGGTCAATTCTATGACAATTCTAGGAAATGAGTTTCCTGCTGGGAAATCTGAGTTTCTTTGTAGGAAACTCAGTTTCTTACTAGGAAATATGATTTGAGAGGGAGTTCATGTCCGATTTCATGAGCAAAGGCAATACGTTATAATAATTTCCTATGAGGAAACTCAGATTTCTTAATGGGAAAATATGGGTTTCCTAGTAGGAAATTATTATAATGTATAAAAATTATAATACACAATACCCCTTTTTAAAAAAATTAAGTCATTTTAGTCAAAAGAAAATTATTATAATTTATTTTCTTTGCTCATGAAATTGGACATGAACTCCCTCTCAAATCATATTTCCTACTAAGAAACTCAGATTTGCCAGGAGGAAATTCACATTTCCTATTTGGAAACTTATATTTCCTAGTAGGAAACTCAAATTTCCTAGTAGGGATATATGAGTTTCCTTTGCTCGTGAACTCCCTCTAAAATCATATTTACAACTAAAATATAGTTATATAGTTATAATATATAGTTATATATATTATTATATATAAATATATCTGTAAAAGAAGCACACATTGAAGTTGTGGTTTAAAAATAAACATTCTGACATTAGAGAGGGTTGTGGTTTAAAAATTGTTTAGTCAGCTACACTGTTTACTTCTGAAGTAAAAAAGTAGGGATTCTTTTCAAGGTTGTTATACATTTATTACAGTGTTATTATACATTTATTACAATGTAATTATAGGTTTATTACAATGTAATTATACTTTTATTACAATGTAATTATACAGTGTTATTATACATTGCAATGTAATTATATTTATTACAATGTAATTATCGTGTTATTATACTTTTATTACAATGTAATTATACTTTTATTACAATGTAATTATACATTTTATACAATGTTATTATACATTTATTACAATGTAATTATACTTTTATTACAATGTAATTATAAATTTTATACAGTGTTATACATTTATTACAATGTAATTATACATTTATTACAGCGTTATTATACATTTATTACAATGTAATTAAACATTACAATGTAATTATAGTGTTATTACATTTAAATTACATTTATTACAATGTAATTATACATTTATTACAGTATTATTATATATTTGTTACATTATTATTATACATTTGTTACATTATTATTTTGTTACATTATTCTTTTTGAAAAAAGTAGCGATTGATTTTTAAAAAGTAGCGATTCATTTTTGAAAAGTAGCAATTCTTTTTCAAAAAGTATCGATTCATTTTTGAAAAGTAGTGATTCTTTTTGGAAAAAGTAGCGATTCTTTTTGAAAAAGTAGCGATTCTTTTTTGAAAAAGTAGCGATTCATTTTTGAAAAAGTAGCGATTCTTTTTGAAAAAGTAGCGATTCATTTTTGAAAAGTAGTGATTCTTTTTGGAAAAAGTAGCGATTCTTTTTTTTTAAAGTAGCGATTCATTTTTGAAAAAGTAGCGATTCATTTAGAAAAAGTACCGATTCTTTTTGAAAAGTAGCGATTCTTTTTGAAAAGTAGCGATTCATTTTTGAAAAGTAGCGATTCTTTTTCAAAAAGTAGCGTTTCATTTTTGAAAAGTAGTGATTCTTTTTGGAAAAAGTAGCGATTCTTTTTGAAAAAGTAGCGATTCATTTTTGAAAATTAGTTATTCTTTTTGAAAAAGTAGGGATTCTTTTCGAGAAATGTAGCGATTCTTTTCAAGGTTGTTATACATTTATTACAATGTAATTATAAAGTAGCGATTCTTTTTCAAAAAGTAGCGTTTCATTTTTGAAAAGTAGTGATTCTTTTTGGAAAAAGTAGCGATTCTTTTTGAAAAAGTAGCGATTCATTTTTGAAAATTAGTTATTCTTTTTGAAAAAGTAGGGATTCTTTTCGAGAAATGTAGCGATTCTTTTCAAGGTTGTTATACATTTATTACAATGTAATTATACGTTTATTATAATGTAATTATACATTTATTACAATGTAATTATAGTGTTATTACATTTAAATTACATTTATTACAATGTAATTATACATTTATTACAGTATTATTATATATTTGTTACATTATTATTATACATTTGTTACATTATTATTTTGTTACATTATTCTTTTTGAAAAAAGTAGCGATTCTTTTTTGAAAAAGTAGCGATTCATTTTTGAAAAGTAGCGATTCTTTTTTTTTAAAGTAGCGATTCCTTTTGAAAAAAGTATGGATTCTTTTCAAGGTTGACAATGTAATTATACGTTTATTACAATTTAATTATACATTAATTACAATTTAATTATACATTTATTACAGTGTTCTTATACGTTAATTACAATGTAATTATACTTTTTTACAATGTAATTATGTTTATTACAGTGTTATACATTTATTACAATGTAATTATACATTTATTACAATGTAATTATACATTTATTACAATGTAATTATCGTGTTATACGTTTATTACAATGTAATTATACATTTATTACAATGTAATTATACATTTATTACAATGTAATTATACATTTATTACAATGTAATTATCGTGTTATTATACATTTATTACAATGTAATTATACGTTAATTACAATGTAATTATACATTTATTACAGTGTTATTATACATTTATTACAATGTAATTATACATTTATTACAATGTAATTATAGTGTTATATGTGTATTACAATGTAATTATACATTTATTACAGTGCTATTAAATATTTGTTACATTATTATTATACATTTGTTACATTATTATTTTGTTACATTCTTTTTGAAAAAGTAGCGATTCATTTTTAAAAAGTAGCGATTTTTTTTGTAAAAGTAGCGATTCATTTTTGAAAAGTAGCGATTCTTTTTGAAAAAAGTAGCAATTCTTTTTGAAAAATTAGCGATTCATTTTTTTTAAAGTAGCGATTCTTTTTGAAGATTTTTCTTCGCTACAGATTTCCCAGATGGAAACTAAGATTTCCTAGTAGGAAAATACGAGTTTCCTAGTTGGAAATTATTCTAATTTATTGCCTTTGCTCCATGAAATTGGACATGAACTCCAATCATGAACTCCACTCAAATCATATTTCCTACTTAGAAACTCAGATTTCCTACTGCTGTGTTGGCATGGGAACATCCCAGGTGAAAATAATTAAATGAAATGACTTTGTCTTTCGTTGCTCCCTTCACCAAGTGCGTTCCAAACGGCTACATGATGGCACGCAAGTGCCCTGCTCACTCCAAAGTCCCCACTTCAAGGGCTTTGCCCTTCGAAGAGAGTAGGGCATAGGGATGCTCACGAGCAATAAGCATGTCCCAGCCGGGTTCGTCACTTATTGGGGTCCCCTGAAAACATTTCCGTTGTGTTCTGTTCTATTTGCAGCACACATTGTAAAACTGACTGAAGAAACGTCCATTACTTAATTTGCGGGTGTTTTTCTATTTGCATGTTTTCTTCAGTTGCAGCGCGTTGAGCTCTCTCGGCCACCGTACTTTAAGTCATTTTTACCCCCTCTGTAATTTGGCTCCAGATATCAGGTGAAAATTTGTATCCCCTTCACAGAATAGTGGATTACTTAATATATATTCATCTATGACATTTAATATTTTGGCTTATTTAATAGTGTGGTTTCTTTTCTGTTCTGCGGAAGAAAGAAAGTCATGGGTTGAAGCGACAAATCAGTGACTAAATGATTTTTTATTTTTGGGTGAGCTGTCCCTTTAAAACCTTCTTTTCATTAAGTATTATGAGATGTTATTTTATGTGTTGTGGAGGATGCATTTCACCATATTTTCCCAAAAAACTTCTCTAGATCCCTCTCTCCTTGGAAGTTTTAGATCAAAGCCCTCACAGGTGAGTTACAAAGTGATTGGCTTGATCAGTAAGGGTGTTTTTCCTTGCCTATTCTGATCCTGTTTTCTCTGCTACAAGCAGGCATCCAGAAGTTCCCCAAAAAAATCCCTCAAAGAGCATTCCTCACCTGTGTCCAGCACACTCAGAGACCAGAGTCCAGTCTTGAGCCGCTCTTCCCTGAGAGAACGGTTAGTTTGACACAAGTTTTGCTGCAGAGCAATTTAACACAGTTTTTGTTCTGGTCATCCTGGTCTATTCTGTCATTGGATTGATTTGTTTTTTTCATTAAAGACCATCCTACAGAAGCATTATACTTATTTATCCTTGCATGTGTTTATTATATGTCATGCTTGTGCCTTCCCTAAAATCCATATTTCATGACATGCATTCTCGAACCTGCAAACTTGCAATGAGCAAAACTAAAAGTCCTACCCCTTCGCCCATTTCCTATGAATTTCCAATTACATGATATTGACTAAATGTGTGGCTCATAAAAACAAAGCCCAGTAAACAGAGCGTCTATTCCACAAATCTATATTGTGATCACACACAACAGACAAGATGAATTTACTGCCTCACCTTCAAATGACAGAATCTGATGTTTGGTCATGTTTGTTCATTACTTATGAGAAGGGAGGAGGGAGGAGGGCTGCTAAGAAAACAAGAGGAAATGCTATTGATTGTGTTTCAGTGAGATCTAATGCGTTTGACCCGACGCACAGTTTAATAAATTCTAAGAGACCCTTGTCATTGATCTGAACATCGGCTGTGAAACCGGCAAATGTTTGTTTGTTTGTTTGCTAGTCTCTCTACCGTCGGCGCCTTTTCCGCAGGGGCATGAGCAAACATTTCAAATCAATAGACAATCTAAGTCTTGAGAGTAAATAGTGGGAAATGTGTGATACTATTCTGTCAATTGAAAGCATGACCGGAGTCACAGGCCCGGAGATTAAGGCTCGCTCCGTAGATTCGCAGAATGAGAGATCAGGCACGTCTTTTTGAGCTGCTGATGGGGGGGAGAGTTAAAGAAAACGACGGTTTCTAAAGTTCAGGCTGGCCCTCTCTGGCCTTCTTTTATGGTAATTATAAAGACCATCTTACGGCCTGCCTGCGTTAAGGCCACCTTTCATACCGATCTGCTGGTCTCTTTACCTCTATATTCTTTTTAATATAGATTCTAATTAATTCTGTCCATTCATCTTTTTAAACAAGCTCAGTGAGTTAGTATTATATTGCAAGTTTATTCACATGCATGCTTTGATATTCTAAATCCAAGGACACAGCTCAAATGCCTGGGTAATTCCTCATCTGAGCTTCTCTTTCTCTCTTGTGGCATATTTAGATGTATAAAATGAAAATATCAGCATTTGCTACAGGGCTGGAGATAAATGTCTCTGCATGTGTATTTGTGATTTAACTTAATGATTTAACTGGCCTGAAATTTACAAGTTGTATTTCCCAAGATGACTGCGCTCCAATGTAAGGGCAACAGCACAGACTAGTGGTTTATTTCTGTATATATGCTGGGGTTTTTTTGTTACTTGGAAATATTTAAACTACATTTTTATAAACAGTAGATGAAATTCACAATATAATATTAATTGTATAAATATAAATAAATATTAAGTTTTTAAAAATAATTAATTTTTAGTTGGTGCCTAACCATTCATTTGTAATTGATTTTCTGGTGAAGTTCCAAGGCTTCATTGCTCATATTCGTGTAAAGACTTTGGTGCCTTTGAGATGTATTTTCAGCCATGTTGTTTTCCATTTTCTACAGGTTCCAGAGTTCATCCAGTTCCTCGCAGTCAAAGGAGATCCACAAACGAGTGCAGAGAATCCTCAGCAGCTCTGGTCCCCGCTGCAAGCTTTCTTTTGTACGTCACCCCTGAGATCGCAACCGCATGTAATGCTGTCATTCTATGCGCACGTTAACCCATGCAAAATGATTCTCCAAAACACTCATTACGGCACATGTCAGTGTTTCAAACGTCCTCCAGTGATTCTGTCAGGCACTCTGTATTCTTCACATCCATTGTGTCAGGATGTGCTGCCACTGTCTTCCAGGAAGTGAACGAGGTAATCACCTTACGTGCTCATTCTTTCTGTTCGCGCGAGTCGTGGGCCGCTTAAACGCTTCACCGCCCACGCCGTGTTTTGCTGGAACACCCTGACGAGAAAGAAAAGCGAAAGAGTTCTAATTACTCTAAAGCTTCCCCAAATCCTTCCTTAGAGGAAAAAAGGAGCGCATGTTCACTGGGAGGGAGGTCTACAGGCTGACGGCTGTCTTTACAGGCTCATCTTTGAGAGAGAGGAGAGATGCCACAGTGGCACAGTCGGGTGCCAAGCTCTGCGTGGCTGAAGCCCAGCTCGAGAAAGGAAATGTGTAATCCACTTCAGAGTTAAAAGTAGAGAAGGGCTAGGATTTTTTAAAAGCGTTTTAATCAAACAGTTCAAAGGATCTGCTTTTATTAGTTTCACTCTTCGTTGCATTAGCAGATTTTGGAGAAATTTAATTAGTTTGGGATATTCAGCAATACTGCTTTGTGCCAACCTCATATTGATTAAACATTTTTTTGGTGGTGTTTTTAGAGAATATTTTCCACAACTAAAATGTGTGTGTGTGTGTGTGTTGTCAGGATGAAGAGAGTGAGGAGGGTTCATGTGTTTCCACCCACCCACATCATGGTGACAGCTGGCTGCCGCAGGACAGGTAAACAGCACCTCATTTTTGGTCTAAATTCAGATTTAAAGAATCTTTCTTTAATGTGTAAACAGTATATTACAATAATAATAAGTATGATACTAAGTTTTGTACTAAGATATTCCTACATGTTACAAATAACATAAAATGAAAGTGCCTTCAAGAGTTACGGATAAATACTTGAAAATGTGAATTTGTTTTAGTTGAGTTTGCAATATACAGTTATAAATTTTAATTTGACTTTCAATAAAAATTGTATTCTGTCCATACTGCAGGCTAATTCCTGGAGAACCATCTGTTCATTTAGACAACGGCACATTTTGGACTAACAGAGCGGCGGTGTATACTGGGAAGCCCCACAGAGCTGTGTTTGAGGACAGTTTGAGCAAAATCTACAAGAACCTCTACAGAAACGCTTCACAGCCAGGACACGGTGGACAAAGCACCTGGACACAATGACCAAAGACATGTTCTTTTAATGCAGTGGTTTTCATATTCTCTGAATATGTTGTGTATCGCCCTTATTTAAAGGGATAGGTTACCCAAAATTAAAAATTCTGTTAACGTTTACGAACTCTCAAATTGTTCCAAACCCGTGTACCGGTAAATGTCTTTGTTTTGCTGAACACAAAGGAAGATATTTGAAAGAATGTTTGTAACCAAGCAGATCTCAGGGCCCATTGACTACCATAGAATTTTTTTTTCCTACTACGGTAGTCAATGGGGCCCAAGAGCTGTTTAGTTACCAACATTCTTCAAAATATCTTCCTTTGTTCAGCAGAACAAATACATTTATACAGGTTTGAAACAACTTAAGGGTGACAAATGATAATTTTAATTTTTGGGTGAAGTATCCCTTTAACACACCTGATTCAATCATCAGCTCAAGAGCTTCATGAACTGCACAGAGGGTGTCAGATAAGAAAGACATACAAAATGTGGTCCCCAGGACTGAAAACCCCTGATTTAATGTACTTGCATATGCCAAACCGGGGAGGGGAGGGGAGGGGAGGGGGGTTCAGGAGTTTTATATGTTATACACTTTTTCTTAACTTTAATAATGATAACAGTATTAGTAAAAAGAAAAACAGCAGTACTTTTGGTTTGAACCTGATTTATTGTGAATCCACAGTCAGAGAGGAGCAATCGGGAGTAATCAAGTCTTTCATTCAATCGCAATCCAGTTAAGGAAAAACTTTAAAAAGTATAAAATATTTTTTCTCTGTACAAATAGCCTTTTCAATCTGCTGCATTTAGTTGCTGTATATTTGCAAAGGCTGGTTTGGGTATGGTATATATATCATTCACATATATAAACCTAAGTCTTGTGTAAAAAAAACACAGACAGGAAAAAAAATCTGATTTGCCTAGTGAATTTATTTATTCATTTTCTTTTTATGGAACTTGTGCTTTTTGTTCATCTTGCCAGCAGCCTGTGCTGCTTTTTCTGTCATGATCTCTTGATATTTCCTTTTGTTATAGCTAAAAGAGAAGAAAAGATGCTTTAGAACATGACAATTAATTTAAAACAATAAATAATAAAAGCCCATTGTTGAGAATATAAATAATTTATTACATTCTAATCAGCCACAGTTTCTTTAACTTACCTTCTAAACTCTGCATCGGCAAGAAGCTCCTCCACAATGGTTCTTTTCCTTTGTTTCTTGGGGATTCGTGAATTATAAAAGTCTACTGGGCTGTCAACCACTGTACCAACCTGGGGAAAAAAAAAGAGCTAAACTTTACTCAAAAGAACAGAACAATATGGCATTGTCTGCTTTCTATGCCTGTGGTTAATTGCAATGTCAGCATTTTGATTACACTACAATTCTCAATTTTTGTTTTCACAATTTTTTTTTTTGTCTCAGAAATAATGGCTTTTTGAAAAATTGTTTGAAGGGAAAAGTTTGCTGATAAAGACTCCCAAACCGACCTGAAAGTATTTGGGAAATCCTTCTCTGTCGTTCTTCTTGTAGAAGCGCTTTGGGTCCATGGCTGAGCGCATCTGCTGTGCCTTCAGGTCATTTTTGAGCTCTTCTGTTAATTCAGGAGCTTTCATGTTGAACCAGCCATCGCCAGTTGTCTTTTCTCTTTCCGCCTGGATGAGACACATAAGATATTACTTTTAAACAACTACAGTTTCAATCAAAAGCATGGAAATTACAAACCTAATTTTCAACACTATTGCTAGTGAAAACAGACATATCCTGATTATTAAAGGTTTAAAGTGGCATATAACCCTACTATTCAAAAGTTTGGAGTCTATATGAAAGACTTACAAATCACCATGGCTGCCTTTACTACATAAAAAACAACAACAACCCACACAAATTATATGTTTTAAAATACACAAAAAAAACAACATCCATTACTCCAGTCTTCAGTATCACATGACCTATCAGCAATTATTCTAATATGCTGATTTGGTGCTCAAGAAACATTTCTTATTATCAATGTCGAAAAACCGTCATGCTGCTAAATATTTTTGTTAGAGATGCACTGATTACAATTTTCGAGGCCGATTCCGATTTTTCAGAGTTTGACCTGCCGATACCGATTTTATCCGATTTCATTTTTTCTAACCACTTTACAGCACACACACATTTTTTCACATCCAATATCCAACAAAAAAAAAAGTGTTCATTTCAAAAAGAAAATTCATTTTCTTTTCTGACATATACCGTATTTTCCGCACTATGAGGCGCACCGGATAATAAGGTGCACCTTCAATGAATTACCTATTTTAGAACATTTTTCATATATAGGACGCACCGGATTATAAGGCGCATAAGATACTGCAGTCAAACGTTTGACGGGGTTTGCGTTATGCATCCACTAGATGTGCTAAAGGGAATGTCAACAAAACAGTCAATATAAAGTCAAACTTTATTAAGCGTTTTGACAACTCCGTTCACTCCCATGGTAACGTTGTTCAAACGTTAAAGGAGAACTCCGGTCAATTTTAACATTGAGCTCATTTTTTTGTAAATTTGGAGTGCTGTCAGTACAGATAACAACGACAAAAACCAGTGTTGCCTACACCGTGTTATCCTCTTTTTAAAATTTGCACCCTGTTGACTTAAACGGGGCAAGTTTTAAACCTGCTTTTAGCCTCTTAACAACCTTAATGTGTCATTACAAGTGCACAGCCATGTGAGTGAACACGGTGAATCTGACTGCAGTAAATGTGAAAGATATGAATAAAAATGATGTTTATTCAGCCAGCTCACATACCCGTATTTTCTTCCTGTTTTCCACAGTACTCGATTGTCGAGTGCACGCGCGCAATCATTGGTAACTAAGCAACAGTGGAGACTCAGACTGTCAGCCGATGACGGTGCTGTGTGGTGTTCTGAGAATATCAGCTCAAATGGATAGTTCATCCGAATCAGATGTTGAACACACGGAGGTTTGATCGCGCGCGCGAACTCGACAATCAACTACTGTGGACTTCGACCGAAAACAGGAAGTAAATACGGGTATGTGAGCTGGCTGAATAAAGAGATTATTCCTGCCTTCGTGAAAGCTCGGATCACAGTTGAGACTGATATATCAGCCCAGGCATCCACGATCCATTGGCAGATAGTGGCGTAAGTCGCCCGGCGCTGTCTCCCCGTCTTGGTGAACGTGTGTGTTCACCATCCATATATAAGGCGCTCCGGATTATAAGGCGCTCTGTCGTTTTTTGAGAAAATTAAAGGCTTTTAACTGCGCCTTATAGTGCGGAAAATACGGTACTCCAGTTCTTGTTAAAACACACCAGACATGCAAATTCTGTGCATTTTGGGCACTTTTGTGTGAAATCATATTTATTTTGTCCATATTGTGTGCTTTCACTTTAATTGAGCATGAGCAGTGCAGCAAAAATAGACTGCGCCGAAACCCGCGCTTCACCGCTGCTCCTGCTCGGTGATTTACATGCGCGCCGGAAATAATACGCGCTGCTCATGTTTGCGGTGTGAAACGGCTGTAATTCACAAGGTTTCCTACATGTGCGTTCCATGTGCACGTGTGATCCTGAAGTTGCGCGATGTTAATCATGCGGCGCCCGAGTGCATTTGACCGGCATAAAATCGGCATATGTCAGACCGATCACGTGAAAATCGGCCAATTCCGGTCACCAGCCGATCAATCGGTGCATCTCTAATTTTTGTGGAAAGAATTTTCAGGCTTCTTTGACGAATAGAAATAAAATTTTGTTTTAAATATAAATCTTTCGTAACATTATACATATCTTTCACTTTTGATCAATTTAATAATGCTGGATTAAAGTATTCATTGCTTCAGGAATTCATTTCTCCAAACTTTAGATTGGTAGAATGTAGAATTAAGATGAACAGCTGTCCCTTCAAGGTGACACAAAATGTTAAAGAAGGATTTGAATAACCTTTAACTAGTTGGATTTATTAAGAATAGTCCTAACAAGCAGAACAGACAACAGGATCATCCATTTCAGAACTGGGGCTCGTTCTTCGTACGTTGCTTAAAACATCCGAGATCAAATGAGACATCTAAGATGATATCATCGTGCTAATCATGATCCGGCTAATTGGGTTCTTCGAACACACCTGTTGTTTATGATTAGTATCGCTGGATTGAGTTATCTGAGATAATTGCGCGTTCATGCGCTGGTTTAAAAGGGGATATGTATCGATAGTAGAAACATTGATCAGCAACGCTGCTATTGGCTGCTCACCGTGGCCAAAGAGCGCGCTCAGTTTTACTCTGCAGCAGAGCAAGAGTTATTGCTAGAAGGTTATGCTGAATTTGAAAACTTAATTGCGTTAAGTTTTCACCTAAAATGTGCAAAGCCAGGAGAGAGGGCTGGCAAAAAGTAGCAAATTAAGTTTGTAGTGACCATTTAGATGTTTTTATCACTTATTACAGTATATATTTTTTTATTTGAATAATTTCTAAATAATTAATAACTTTGTTCATTGTAATCTCAGTCACCACCCACTACTAGAACATGGGAACAAGTAAAAGTGAAGTACTAGAATATTCTACATAATGGTAATTTGTAGCCTATAGGCTACTATAGTCTCTTTTAAAAAGGCACTGTTAATAAATGTTTGCTTGTTTATAAAAGCAACCAAGAAAAAGGCTGAGAAAAAAAGAAAAGAAAAACAAACAGGTGGTGTCGTGCAACCCCACATTATACCCCGGCAGAAGAGCTGGCCCTTGGGTTGAATGTGAACCGACCCGTCCGGGGTTCAGCTCTTCCTCAGACACACAGCAGGGACCAGTAGCAGCAACTCCTTCATTACTGGTAAATGAACTTTAAATGATCTTACACTGTAAAATATTTTTTGCTGCACTATAGGCATATAATCCCAATGGCTGGTCCAGTCATATCAACTGTTAAACCTTGAGTAGGCCTAGTGATGAATTGCTTACTTGTGAAAGTGTGCATGTGTGAAACTACATGTAGCCTAGTTAATGAAAAAAAAATATGTTGCCATGAGTTATTGATCACATTTCCCCCAGTGTACTTCATTGTAATGAAATTGTGTTTTCCTCTTTTGTGCAGTTTTAAACACCAACACATTTATCTGTTCCTGGCTGATCCATGTGCAGTAAGTGGACTTTTCCAAACTTTACATCAAAAGGGAAGAAAGTACAACACTTTGTAATGCCCATTTCCCCACCAATGCACAGGACAGTGAAGAAACTCTCTCAGATGACTGTCTTTTGGAGAAAGTATCTTTAAATAACTTTACTTAGTTTACACTTGAGTACCTATTATTTCTGAATGCAACATGTGTTGCAGGAGTCCACATCTACAGAAAGGCCTACAGAAGAGTCTGCACAAAGCAGTTATACAGAGGTGGGCAGTGTATACTTTTCCTTTTATTTTTTGTTGCATAAGGCTTGTGTTGACAAGTTTAACCCAAGCCCCCCTGCCCCTAGAAAATAGAGTATTTTGGGGGGGAAAACTTGACAACTTAAAGAAAAGAAAAACGGCCACTACAGAGTTAGAGATAGAGTTGCTTCAAATGAACTTCAGAGTAAGTGCTAATATATTATTTCACACACAGTACTTTTGCTGACCTTGCATAGTATCTCTTATTGCAGGCAAAATATGACTTGATCACTGGCTTTTCTTTACAAAGAACAATTTAAATAAAAAAAATCAAAGAACTAAGCATATTTGTCTTGTCTTTCATTAAACATTTAATGAAATGTTTTATATTTTTGCTGATGGTGGAAATGTTGTGTAATATGGCACATGTAATGTCACAGGCCCTGTCAAGTGCAACCCTCAGGCTTTTCAGACACTGAAATCTTCCCTTTAGTTGGCCAAAGTTCATTTCAATGTGTGACCTTGTCCTGGCTAGAGCTGCATTGTAACTGTAATACAGTGAGCTTGATATTGATACCATGTTCAAGTAATGTGCATAAATGTGAATCTCTGTGCTTCCACATTTGTGATACGGAACAGTCACACACCATCTAGAGATTTTAGTCTGTCAACTGCCTTTTTTTTTAATTTGATATAATATTACTAATCTTGAATATTAAGAATTGTAATAGTAACTTGGCTGCACATTTACATTGTGATCCCCCTTTCTGTTCACAAAATCCCCTTCATAGAGGCCTTGATGGGAACATTTGTGCAGTCTATTGACCAATCACATTAGTGAAGCCTGAGGGACATATCTGTGTCATATTAATCGGCATGTTCATGATTGCATGATCTTCATTAAAAATTATAATACCTGCGTTGGCTAAAAAAATTTTTTTTAAAAACCTGCTATAGCCTACAACCTTGGGTCTAAACTGGCTTGGAAATGCCACAAAAAAAAACACCCTAAAAACTGCTTGAGCGCCAGGGTAAACTTTGTGAATGACACGACAGACAGCACTTATCAAGTTCTCCGCATCTCCAATAGTTTAAAGGAAAGAGCCACTCGCAAATAATATCAGGACAATGCACACAGTTTGTGCTGTTATTAAAGGCCGACTCCGACGAGTCGAACATTTAATGTGCGTTTCCAAAAAATAATTGATGTAAATGACATCCTCACGAGTCAGGAGAAAAATTATATCTCTCAAAAAGTACACTATCGCGCTGCGTTAAAAGACTTCTCGTTTCACCTCCGCTTATAAAGGCGCGATCTAATCCTGTTTACATGAAATAAGCCTGCTCACGAGCAGGTTCAAGCTAGCGCACCTGTTGCTATGACAGCAAGTCCAGGATGAGCTTCGAAGAACCAAACGATCCAAGATCATGCCAAATCGCCAACAATCAAATCCAGCTAACTGAGTTAGCGACGTACGAAGAACGAGCCCCTGGTCTGCTCACCTTGCGCTTGTGTTTCGCAGCATGCTTTGATTCCTTGTAAGGCGGCACAGCATCTTTCTTCTCAAAATCCGGAACAATAACACTCTTCTTCAGCAACTACACAATAAATACAACATTTTTCATGCCGTTACTGAACAGTAACATCTGCACAAAATGCTTTTAAATGTCAAATAAAGAATGTTTCATCCAGGATAATTAATGATAAAATAAACTTTAATTACCTCATCCTGATTGTTCGGGTTCTTCTGGGTTTGCGAACTGTTGAAAGGATTCTTCGGCTTGTTACCATCAAAACTGATGTACAAACCACCAAGTTCCTTCATTTTCAGACCTGGGTCAATGGAACTAGATAGTTGTATCCTTAGTGAGAGTGAGAGAGTGAGAGAGTGAGAGAGTGAGAGAGTGAGAGAGTGAGAGAGAGAGAGAGAGAGAGAGAGAGAGAGAGAGAGAGAGAGAGAGAGAGAGAGAGAGAGAGAGAGAGAGAGAGAGAGAGAGAGAAAACAATGATGTTTTCAGACTGAATATAATTTAAATATTTAATGAAGAGCTCAAAATATTTAGAAAGAAGAAATTTAAAGGGATAGTTCACTCAATTACTCACCTTTATGTCGTTCCAATCCAAACCCATAAGACTTTCGTTCATCTTCGGAACACAAATGAAGATATTTTTGATGAAATCCGAGAACTTTCTGATCCCTCCACAGACAGCTAAGCAACTGAAACTTTTACACTTCAAAAAGTTCATAAAGAAATCATAAAACTAATCCATATGAACTGTGTGGTTAAGTCCAAATTTTCCAAAGAGACATGATCGCTTTATATGACGAATGTTTAAATGTGAATAAAAGACATTCAATCTGTTTATCAACTCACACACGCTTGATATGCGAGAACCAATGAGGTTTATTCTGATGTGTTATGCAGCACGTTTGAGCTTTCGCAAGAGGTTTGTTCTCGCGCGTCAAGCGGGTTCGGTTGAGCTTCTGTTTGTTCAATGTTTAAATGCGAATAAAAGCCTAAATTCAATCTGTTCATCATATAGAGCTTTCGTGTCTCTTCAGAAATTTAGGACTAAACCACTTAATTCATATGAATTAGTTGATGGAACTTATTGAAGCGTCAAAGTGTCAGTTGCATAGCTGTCAATGGAGGGACACAAAGCTCTCAGATTTAATCAAAAAGATCTCCGTTTGTCTTCCAAAGATAAACGAAAGTCTTACGGGTTTGGAACGATTACTGACAGTATTTGTATTTTTGTGTGAACTAACCCTTTAAGAGGTTTTAATATCTACAAGTCAATACTATCAATACAAAAGCAGCAATAAAAATAACTTACAGAGGCTTTTTGGGAGCAAAGAGCACTTTTGAATCGTCGTCATCATCGTCATCTCCCTCTTCATCAACAAAATCATCCTCATCCTCTTCCTTAGTTTGCTTGTTATCAATATAGTACTGTTCTTCAGGCTGTAGTCCAGGTCTAGTGTCTATGACAAACAGTCCGTTACCATGAGCCTCTGCTTCTTCTGACATCTGATTTTCCTCAGGGCACATCATCACATCTTCACTCTCCACATCTACAGCTTCCTGTGAACAACCCTCCTCTGAAGACAGACCTTCATCAGCACTGTCTTCATCCTCACTGCTGTCGAGTAAACTGATCATTTCTTTCTGGGGAGGCAGTTCCTTAGAAGTTTCCTCTGTGGTGGTCAAATATGCTTGAGAATGTGAGCTTGTAGAAGGGCCTTCAAGGTCCTTCAATGTTACGGAGTCATCCTCAGTTGACTTGGTGTCATTAGCTTCCTCACTAACTATTACACCTTTCTTCTCACACTCAGCTATTTCCTCATGCTCCTCAACCACATATGGTATAAGATCTTTTGGGGCGTCTTCTACTGTATCCTCTGTCACGGGTTCAGAACATCTCTGATCTTCAATAATCTTCTCAACCACAGCTGGTACAGGATCTTCTGCGGCTGTTTCTACCGTATCCTCCGTCACGGTTTCAGAACATCTCTGATCCTCAATAATCTTCTCAACCACAGCTGGTACAGGATCTTCTGCGGCTGTTTCTACCGTATCCTCCGACACAGGTTCAGAACATCTCTGATCCTCAATGATCTTCTCAACCACAGCTAGTACAGGATCTTCTGCGGCTGCTTCTACCGTATCCTTCTCTACAGGCTCAGTGCATGTTTGATCCACAACAACATGGCTTGTTTCCACAAACTCTGGCGCATTATTTTCCATGGATTCTCCTGGTTCTTTATCTTCAATTAGTGTAGCGGAAGTTTCAGCCACTGGTTCTTCCTGAGGCATCAGAGTTTCGGTTTCACAGTCCTCCACTGGCTTGACGTCTTGCATGCTGCTCTGAGGTTCTAGCATCTCGACGGGCTCATCCTGATCAAGAATTACAGTGGTATCTTCAGCTTTCTCCTCAATCATGGTGCACTCTTGGGCTTCACTGGTGTCTGTGGTCATGGTGCTGTCCAGTTGATCTGTGTCTTCAGCCTTATCTCCATCAGGTACTGGTATACTTTCATGATGAAGTTCAAGTTCCTCAGGCATGGCAGTAGCAGCGGCATCAGAAGTCAATCGTGCTTTTCTTGTCCTGGTTACAGGAACCGCACGGGCACTACTGGAAGACCCGGTTCGGCTACTACAAGGAGTCCCTCTTCCTCTTTGAGGGCTTGGGCTCCCCTGAGAGGTGCAGACGTTCGATTCTGAATCTGATTCACCAACCAGAATGTTGCGTTTGGGCTGACGCCTTGTGGCTCTCCAGGGACTCATGCTGGGACCGGACTTGCATGCATCAGAGTCGTATTCGCCATCTTCAACTCCTGTTTTGCAACTACGACCTCTCAGCTTCATGGGCATTGGAGAAGAAGGGGTGTCTGTGGTTTCCTCTAAACTCAAAGGGATCGGCTCGATCGGTTTTACCTTCTGGTTTCGTGCAGATCTGCGGACCACAGAGCCGCGAAGGCCGGAAACACTGGAGGAGCATGACTCCGCTTCAGATGGATCTGCATCAGTGGTACGAACAGCAGTCTTCCGATGGCTCCTCGTTATCCGACGAGTGTCAGTAACTTTTGTGAGGGATACAGCAGAACTACAGGACTCGGCACCTGAGGGATCATCATCTACCTTTTCAGCATCCTTTGAGGCCGTTGAAGTCAGAACACGTTTCCTCAGGCTGCGAGGGGCTCTACGAGAATTGGTCTCAGACACGGTGGACAAGCAGGATTCGGCTTCGGATAACTCATCCTGTGCAGTGCGCTTCTCCACGACCACAGTACTCCGTCGGGTTCTAGGTGTTGCTTGCACATCAGAAACTACAGAGCAGCAAGATTCTGACTCAGACACATCAGCTTCATGGGTAGAGTCGGGTTGCTTTTTGTCAGCAAGGATACGTATGGATCTTCTTGTGTCTCGCTTGGGTGTACTTGCTGCTAAGGAAGAGGCAGTACTGTCGTCCTTCGGCTCATCCGGCTGGGAGTCACTAGTTAGTTCAGACTGGGACTGGTTTTCCTCCATTAGCGTTCTGCGCCTTGTTCTTCTAGTCGAAGGAGTAGGCTGCTGTGAGAACAAGAACATTTGCTTCAGATTATTTGTGTATTTCTTATCAGAATAACATAATATTTACATATACAAATGTGAGTTGATATGCACTAAAAGTCAAGATATTTGTGTACATGGCTACATGAAATACTCAAAACTTTGACTGGTTGATGCAACAAAGTATGGTGAGTTGCAAGTAAAGATATGGAAGTAATACCTATCCATACCTATTACTACTATTTAGAAATTGTAGAATATTAGGCATGTATTTTTAGTCAAAAATTATAATTATACCTGGATAATTAATACAATGAAAATAAATAAAATAGCCACTGCTCAGTGAGGGATTGACAATTATCTTACAGGAGGGTGTCAATTTAACGTTTCATCTTTAGAAATATTCACACAAAAAGAAGGTTATATTGTTTCCAACCAATGCTGAAAAACCTCTTAAAACTTCAGCATTGGTGGGAAATGCTGAAGTTTTTGTTATATAAATTAGCGTATAGAACCTAACGACATGGCGAATATTGCAGCATTGAGTTTTTTTTAAACACGTACTGTACTAATATACATACATATAGGTGATAAATGTACTTATGTAACGTTACTGTTTAACAACTTTATAACAGGAACACCACACGTGGCGAGTTATGTTGATCCAATCATGTCCCATCTCCAGTTCAAGGCTACAGATAGAGTATGACTGTATAATTGTTTAGTCGAGAAAGAACGCAAAACAGACTATACAAAATACGAACGGACAACATTTTATATTCGAATATGAACAAGTTTTCTACAGCTGCTCAGGCATGTATGGACACATGCGGCAATTGATTTTGCATGAAAGTATATAAAAGCACTAGTTACATACACGCTGATGCTTCCGGGCAACATGTTAACTAAATGGATAAACTACTTAGGTACCCTACATACCGTGGCTCCAGAGTTTTCATCGCTGGTATTTTTCATAGGGGAGTCCACGCGCGTTCCTCTCCTGGTGGCCACCATCTTGCTAATGAAGCTGCACGCACTTCCGCCTGCGAACCGCGTCCTCTGAATGCGCAGACCGGACTAATCGATGCAAGAAAGTATGGTGAGTTGCAAGTAATGATATGGATCTGATCTGTCTTGGTTTTACCTTCTAACCAAGTCATATTGTGATCTTGATAGACACTATTAAGATTCAAACACTATAATAAAAATATCTAAATGTCACAACTTTTTTATTTTTTCACTGTGTGTGAATCCAAAATAAAACAGAAATAAATGAAAACCCAATGCCAGTCCATGTTAATTTTCAATTTCCAAGTTTATAAACCAAATTAAATATGTTTAACACACAAATAGGGATTACAGTCATTTGAAAATAGTAATTACATGATGCAACTCTTATATGATTGGATCCAAAAGGAATCGTCATTACAATGAATAAATAACACAAGTAAAAATATATATTCTGACTATCCGTTAGATACTGGAACTGTAATCATTATTTTCCTTCAAGTGTGGAATTTTCCAGTGTTTTTATATACAATGAATTAATGCCGTTCATGCCATGCATGTTACCAGCATCCCATACAGTTACATATTTGAACATTTCTTTTACCTCAGATAAGCAAAGCATTTAGTTTACAAAGGGGTGCAAAAGAGAATCATCCATTGACAACAGGCAGCATCTATTGAACATTCCATGCAAAGCATCAGTCAAAATAAATTATACAAATGGCAGCAAGATTTAAAATTTGACATTTAAAATGAAAGTAAAAAAATCTAAAACTATGTGGCCCACTCGTTTAAAAAACAATTGGGGTAAACATTTTTAAATAAAATGGAAAGATTATCCAAGATGTATCTCTTCTACAAATCTTTTTGAAAACAAGTGCCTCTGTCCATGTACTTGTAAAATTAACAAAAACAACCTTTTGGTATTTGAAGCTCCTTAATCTGCCGTCCCATTGTTTTATATAAAATGTTTACCCTTTGGATAAATATTGGGAATTCAACCAGGTCAAGTCAGTAAAAAGAGGCACATTTATCTACAAGAACAGATAGCCGTCTTGATATTCTTAATCATGAGGAAAAATCAGTTATGAGGGTGGAGTGAATTTTTAGTCCTTCCTTGGAAAATTCTAATTCACTTTAGTGTTGAGAAACCCCCTTGTAAAATATGCATCAAGTGATTTAGTAGCTCCCTAAATTAAGTGGAATACATTTCAGGAAACCCCAAAAACCTGTTCAAACAGGACATGTTAATGGTCGCTGCTCTTTTTAGCATGAACGATGTAGCCCTTTGCTTTTATGATGCCTCTGCTCTTGACGATGATGGAGTACCGTAAGACCCACTCCAGCCTCCAGTCGGCCACCTTTAGGTCCTTACTGCTCCCTTGGACTGCTTCCTGGAAGCCTGCAGCACTGATTAGCTCTAGACACAAAAAGAAAGATTGGGAACATTAGATTTCCTGCACTATTGCTCATGCCAATTCAGAATTACATGGCAGAACCAGTTCATGCACGCAGTCATTGGCTCAGTGATACACACCTTTGGGGTCATTGTGCGTTAGCAACTGAATGTCGAACTCTTTAGCAAATGCAGTGAGGTCTGGAGGCATCACACAGCACGAGGCCAGATTCACCTGATTACTGCTCGGCTTTATCTGCATAGCATGAAAGAGTACATTTTTTTTTTAAATCACTTTTCGAATCAATTGTACATTGTTTATCACAAAATATACACTCATAGCAGACCTGAGCCCAGTTATAGAGCTGCTCCAGGAGGGTTTTGTCCAAGTCCGACGTGCCGATGGCAGCAATTTTCTGGCTTTGCACAAGACTCTCCAGCTCTTCCCACAGCGGCTGAAGGTGGGTCAGTGTCTGTGCCTCACCCTCAGGGAGAGGAGGTGGAGCAATGATCACAGAGTCCAGCTGAATTACGCCTAACGAATGACAAGCTGAACGGAGGGGGGTTAGTCAAATTATCCCAAATTAATATTCACACTACTGTTCAAAAGTTTGGATGCAGTAATATTTTTTTAACATGGATAATAAGAAATGTTTCTTGAGCTGCAAATCAGCATATTAGAATGATTTCTGAAGGATCATGTGACACCAAAAGACTGCTGAATTATGCTGAAAATTCATTTACATTTTAAAATAGTAAATGGATTAAAATATTCACATTTACTGAATTTTTGATCAAATAAATGCAGCCTTGGTGAATATAAGAGACTTCTTTCAAAAAGAGTATATATTGAATAATTGGCTTGATCAAAAATACTAAAACTTAAATCACATTTAAATGAGATGCCACTTTTTAAAAAATGACTGCCATAATTGATCCATTTATTGCTAAACTTCTCAAATTAGTCTGATCATGAGGATGTTGCTGATTTCACCGAACCTAGAGTACTCCCCCGGTATGTAAATGGGTTAGGACAAGAAGTGTGGAGAGGGGGTGGTGGAGGGATGCTGCTAAAACAGTCGATGGATAGAGGTGAGACTGCTGAGTATATATGCCTCTTATCGTTGATTGCCAAGTGCTCTCCACTCTTGTTAATTATCTGTGCGTGCTCCTCCCGAACTTTGTTAATAAAACATCATTTATTAAGTGAAAAAATTATTTTAAAATAATCATTCAAAAATAATGAGTCAAACTTAAATTATATTATTAAATTAAAGTATTATATAATATTAAATGATCTATAATTGATTATATTGTGATGATAATAAGTGATTATAAGTGACCCCCTTCAAGTCCTTATTTGGAGACTACTAATTTTCTCTTAAAGTGCCCCTATTATGCTCCTACAATACGTTTACATGCATCCAAGATCAAAAAACACTTAAATTTTCTCATAATATACATTGCACATCACCTAATTTCTCAAATATTCTGAAAACGGTTCATTCGAAGATTCAGTCTCTTTAAACTCCTCCTTTCCGAGAGCCTCCTCTCGTTTGATTGGTCAGATGTCCCGGTCTGTTGTGAATGGTCTACCACTTACAGTACGTGTTGGAAGTAAAACGCCTAGTACCATATTTCAGCTCCGGAAGCTTCCTTAGCACTTGATACGCAATAGTTCGTATTGCGCAATGATGCAATACGAACTAAATAATGATGCTGTTGGTTTTTCAGTATCAATTCCAGCGCAAGTCCTCACCCTTTGGAAGCGCATGCAAAGTGGATTCGCAACGCTGAAAATAGCGTCTTCTTCTGTCGACAACACGGACCAAACTCTTCCAGTCTCAGCTACAACTACAGCGTTTGATGGCGGGTCAAAGTAGACGTAGTGTTACGTAGGTTATAACAGGAAGTGAGACTGGAATTGCTGACTCCTCGTTTCAGAAGTTCAGAATCGATTCTTTCTTTTAGGAGACAATAATTTTATTTGTGGTGCACATCGATCTTTAAAAATTTGCAGACCTTTCATTTCACAAACGGCTATATTACACACTGCATGAAAGGTAATATTCAAAAGAGCATAATAGGGGCACTCTAAATTTTCATACAGTCTTTTGAAATTTTCTTTCAAACGTCAGTTAGTTTCGGGTAAGAAACTCACCCTTATCCATAATCAGTTTTACCCATCAAACATATGAATAATAATAGTGTATAGGCTAGTTCATCATATTAAGCAGAACTTACCCATGTCTACTGCACTTCTAATTGATGAGCAGTGCGACTCAGTGAGAAAAAGCTTGACTGTAAAGATAAACATAAACAGATTTACTAACATGCACAAGCATGGCAACAGCGATACTGTCTGAACGCACTAAGGAGCAGTAATCCTCACCAGACACCTTCAGCTCCTCTCTCTCCTCTGGGGTGATGGCCTCGGTGTTTTCTGGAATGGTGCAGTCCAGAACAATGGGAAGCTCCTGAGGAAGAAAAACAGCAGTTACTGAATTGCACAACCATGCTTTCATGGAAAGTATCCAGTCACTTACTGGATTATGCATTATAGTTGCATAATTTTTTGGCACTCGTGTCTATGAAGCTCCCCGGTCACTTTACTTTGCATGTGAGAACATTAGACACCTTGTTAATGGACTGCATGAAAGGAATGCGTCAATAATAAGCCTCAGCTTTTGTGTGCTAAGACCTTTACTCTCTACTCACTGAGCAGAATAAGCCAGAGCAGAGGCACACCGGCCCCATGCCATGAACGATCACCATAACAACTCTTTTCATCCCAGTGCCTATATATGCTTTACTGGTGCAATGAGACAGACGTTTTGCTTTCCCACAATCCACAGAGTGCTCAACTGTTTATGTTCAGTGAGTCTGACAACATTTTGGCTACTTCTTCATGCAACCGAACTCTTTAATATGTCAAAGTTGACATATGTTTAGTTTAAAATGGCTTGTTTACAAGTTCTCAAGGTTTCGTTTTTCCCTTTCATAATAAGTGTCATGCAAGGTCTTACCGAGTCAAGTGATGACGGCATTGCGGCAAACCACTCGCTTAGTGTGCCTTGGATGCAGTCTTGAAGCTGTGGATTGAGTCAGACAACATTGCAAAAAATGTTAACTAAGGACAGGCAACAAACCAAATATTTTGAAACATTAAAAAAACAACATCTTGGCAACTTCCCTTCCCAAATCATTTCTCAATATTTGAGAAAAGACATTTACATTATCTGTAATACTAACTATTGGGTGTTTCTCCAAACACAGGTGTACATACTAAGTTTTGTCCCTGTAGGATTTTGACATAATATAAATTATTAGCTAATAGTAATATTTTATGATGGTTTTTCATATTCTAAATGATAATATTTTTCAATATAGTTTAATACTGAATTCATTTAATTAATAAAAATGAAAACCATTCAATTAAATGCAAAAATATAATTAATAATTAAAAAGGTGTGTGTGTGTATGTGTGTATATATATATATATATATATATTGGTCAAAAGTTTTGTAAGGAAGTCAGTCATATTTTCATCAACTCTTACATCAAGACGTGAACATATTTCCTACATATTTCATAAAAACACATTATCATATAGCTACAATACTAATCCACTTGCATGGGCTTGATGAATAAGCTTAATTTTTATGATGGGATGTCAGAAAGGGTTTGGCCAGTAATATAAAAATGCACAGTCATTTGTCTGTCATCTGTTGAGATTAAAGACATGACTCAGCATGATATTGTTTACACATATATACTTCATTACAGCATGTCGGGTCATGTCACATACTGTACACTTTCTCTAAGAGGTCTATAAATGAGTGTTATTGGGCAGAAGCATTGCTTGTGTGCACAACTACTACTCACGGCCACAATGTTCTTTGAATTATATATAGAAATTCACAGCACCATTATGGCCTTGACTTGAGTAGATTCATATATATATATATATATATATATATATACTCAAGTCAAGGCCATAATGGTGCTGTGAATTTCTATATATATATATATATATATATATATATGAGAGAGAAATTCCAAGTATAGCCTATATATATACACAAACATTAACATTACATTAAGAGATGCCAGAACAAAGACATGATCATTTTAATTTTTATGCAACAACAGTGAGATGCATATGGCCACATTTTGCATAGTTTCCTGTCATGAGCAGCACGAGGCAGACTAGTCAGTGACGTCATTAATGGAAGCAGACCGAAGATCACATATTCTCGCACAGGATTCGTTCATGTGAGCCGATTCTTTAATAATTTGATCGAAACGATTCGCAAAGATTTCCACTGTAGATGGATGTCATGTTGGAGCCATACACAAAGAAACATATCACCAGTTTTTCCGAGCAGGTATAAAAATATATCGAGGAAAAGTAAAATTAGGTTAATCATAACAGTATCCAACTACAAAACAAATGTTACCCAAATGATAGACATAATTTAGAATGTATATTAAAAATATACGTATTTAACCATATTTACTTTTAAAAAAAATAGTTCGTAAATGGCTGCTGTGTAAAGAACACACACTTAAATAAACTGAAATGAATCTGTGAACCGGTTCGGCAAACTGAAGCGTTCGAAGGAGCCGATGCGCAAAAAAGAATCGGACTTCCAACACCAACGACGACCTTATAAACATAAATAATGGGGGTGACTCATTGAAACTCATTGACCGAATAACATCATACTACAAAACATGTCTGGCCTGTGCTGCCAAGGTGGACCAAGATGCACTATAAGGCTTAGCACTGCAAACCCATGTCACTTACCTCCTCACTAGGCGAAGACGGACATTTCTTCTTAAGTCGACTGCGGTTAACTAAATTTCCCGTGTGAAGCTTCAGGGTTGTTGCGTGATTAAAAAGCCGTTTCGCGTTTACATGAGACTCCATTACTCCGTGAAAATCGGTGACTGGAAAAAAGTGTTGGCTGTATGAAACTATTAACCACAAAATGCCCTCGGGTAACGTTACAGTGTTTCCTTCTCTCGCATACACTAAACAGTGTAGTATGACTTTGCACTTGTGGTTCATTCAATTTCAAGTAGAGAAGAGGTTAGAGCAGAGAGACTCACGCCCACAATGAGAATATGGATGAGTTAAGCTGGAAAACCTGGTGAGGATCAACCGGAGGTGGATTGAAAGAGTCATTAACAGCAACTTTCAACCTTTTTTACTTTTAAAGGCCCCCCATTGTCCAACACAATATTCAAAGGATCCCATGTAGGCTGAGATCTTTCCTCTGGCACTTCTGCAGTAATTATAACCAAGCTGCTGGCTTTCAGGTTTCTTTATTAACAGAAACAAACATGAATCCCAAATGGTGTCTCAAGTTTCTTTTCATTTCTACACTGCATGAGCGAACAAATGTATTTTTTTATATATTTTTTATAGCATTTTTAAAATTTGCATTATCTTAACAAGACTTCTTTTGAATAATGATAATAAATAAGTATATAATTTAATGTCATCTTACAGCCTGGTGATGCCCCACCCCCTGGTTGAGAACTCAATGTATTGGAATCTTAACTGTTATATTTTGTCATTATGACACAGCAGAATTTATTCAGGTCAACTCAAGTCACCTTTATTTATATGGCAATGTATACAAAATAGATTGTTTCAAGCAGCTTTAAAAAGGAAAATAATGCAAACTTCATCAAATATGAGAAGTCATTTCCAGTTTTGTTATCATCCAATAGTGTCAGTGCAAGCAAATCGATAATATGGAGCATCTTACAAACCCCAAATTATTATGTTATATATTTCTTTTTATAAATTACTTAATATAATTGTGCCAATAAACTGCTTTTAATAAACTTTTTAAATAAAAAATCGGAGTCAAATACTCTTTTTGAAACAAAATATAACAAAAAATGTGCAATTCACAAGGTAAATTGTACATTAAAGTGAAGAAAGACACTGGCAGTATATAAAATGAGAGCAGACATCTACATGTTTTAATTGGTGAGATTCTTACAAAGAACTTTACAGTATATTCAAGCAAAGTACCCCCAAAGAAAGACATTGACAGTGAGTAAAATGAGGGCATTGACATTGCAGACAGTCTTCCAGGTGTGGTCTTCTTCAATACTCGTGAGTTTCTTTTCCAGAGCCTGCCGTTCCTCCTCACTTATCTCTTGTTTAGCCACATGGGAGAGACCACACAGCCACATTCCAGCACGCTTCCACCATGCAGGCATGTCCTCATCCGACCCCTCTGACTCTGTAGTGCTGGGATCAGAGCCTGCTGGTTCAGAGCCTCTAGCCCAGGGGTCTTCCAGCTCTACACGCTCCTTCTTACTGTGTCTCGTCCACCAGGTCAAACGAACAAGCTAAAATGAAATATCAGTGTTATATTAGCTCATGTTCAGTGTGTGTTACTGCTAGAATATCAACATAAATGATGTACTGCTTTGTGTATGTAAATATATAGATAAAAAATTTTACATGCTTTCTTTGCTTTTTATGCTAATAAAGAAATTAAAAAGTCTTGTCTTTATAAATTAATTTCCAAAATCGAGTTAGTCGTTGTTAGTGCACATTGCGTTGGTATAGCCTAGATAATTTGGGCTGTTTTGGGCAGCAAAACCTCCTTTTGTGGACATTAAAGGGATACTCCACCGTTTTTTCATATTAAACTATGTTATTCTCTTATCTAAGACGAGTTGATACATACCTCTCTCGTCTCAGTGTGTGCACTGAATCGCTCTGTCGGGCGGAGAACTTTGAGAGCAGTTAGCTTAGCCCCATTCATTGTATATGGGCCAAACAGAGATGAAGTTAGAAGCCACCAAACACATCCACGTTTTCTCTATTTAAATATAGTTACACAAGTAGTTACACGACCAAGTATGGTGACAATAAATAAAATGTGGCGCTTTTTATAAGCGGGTAAAATGGATAACTATAATGTATGGCGGAATAGCACTTATTGGGAGCACTTCGACTCGGCGCTGTAATATCTTCACTCGTGAAAAGTCATCTCCCCCTCCCTGATACTTCGTCAACTCTGCACAAAAAACTACTACTACTGCAGGCGTGCAGGTCACGTTGGTTCTATTGACGGAAATGACAGGGAGAGGGGAGAGGACTTTTCACGAGTGAAGATATTACAGCGCCGAGTCGAAGTGCTCCCAATAAGTGCTATTCCGCCATACATTATAGTTATCCATTTTACCCGCTTATAAAAAGCGCCACATTTTATTTAGTGTCACCATACTTGGTCGTGTAACTACTCGTGTAACTATATTTAAATAGAGAAAACGTGGATGTGTTTGGTCGCTTCTAACTTCATCTCTGTTTGGCCCATATACAATGAATGGGGCTAAGCTACCTGCTCTCAAAGTTCTCCGCCCGACAGAGCGATTCAGTGCACGCACTGAGACGAGAGAGGTATGCATCAACTCGTCTTAGATAAAAGAAAAACATAGTTTAATATGCAAAAACGGTGGAGTATCCCTTTAATAGAGAATAAAATGGGTCATAAATTAATTCAATTAAAACTAAGAAAGCAAAATGTTCTTAGGTGTAGGATTAGTCTGTTATAATAATTCTCTTAATTTTAAACCAACATGGAAATGCCCTTTTAGATAGGTAATGGCCTGGATACATGGTCTTTATCTCCTTTTTGTAAGCGTCTTATACAAATGGATAAGGGAGAATGTACATCAATACTGATTTGAGCAGAAACCTTTTTAAAATCGTACCTCTTTATAATCTATTAAGTGTACAAAACAATCGTTCTAGCAACAAGACAAACACTTCGACAATATTACTGTAGACCTACTATTAATACGAATGCAATATTGTTGCAGTATAACCAGGGTTACTGTTTCTGTACAAAACATTTCCAGTAATTGAAATAAAGCTGAAATAAAATAAAATATAAATATTAGTTGAAAAACTTAAACTAAACAAAAATGAGAAATGTTACCTTGGTTAAGTTGAAGCACTATTAACTGGAAATAAATGACAACTAAAACAAAAACTGAAATAAAAATAAATGAAACCTAAATAGCAATCTAAAAAAAACAAAAAAACAATGAAATGACAAAAACTAAAAATCTGATGGCAAAGGGTGGTGACCTTTCTAAGGGCCACCGGCTTTAGGGGGGCCTTGCGATTTCAACCGAGGGGGCCTTCCCCCGGAACGAGATTTTTACCGAGTGGGACCTCGACCCCGGAGCTCAATTTCAACCGAAGGGGAAGAAAAAGGGGGATTTCAAGGGGAGCCAGAGTAACAACCTGCACCGGGGCCGCACGCGGGATACCACAGCTACGGCCTTGTCGGTCAGTATCAGGAAATAATGTTGCGACTAACCAATCAGAATTAATCATTTCAGAGAGCAGTGTAACAAAAATAAATATTTAAATGTGTTTGCAGTTGATAGTTACGTGTTGCTCTGGAATAGGCGCAGTGCAGAGGCTGATGGCTGTAATGATCAGAGCTGTCAGGGCAAGAAGAATTAGAGCAAAATACAGGTAGTGCACATCTTTCAGCAGGGCGGGACGCAGGTCTTTCTCTCCGCATGACGGGGTGCCATAGACAAATTCCATTACCATCCTCACTGTGCCAACTACAAGTCCCACCATCAGACCCCAAAAAGCCCCCTGTGCAAGATAAAAGAAAGCAGCTTCGCTTGGATGTTTTACAACCTTCTTAAAAGAAATGCATTGAATGTTATAAGATATTTAACTTTCACTTTAATACATGAGCACTAATCAGCTAAAACATGTTTAATTCACCTGTTCATTTACTCGCCCCCAGAAGATGGCCATAATAAACAAGGCGGTGATGGGAGGTGCCAGGCAGCTAGTGATGGCCTGAATGTAGTCAAAAAGCTGTCCACTATTGGCTGTTTGAATGACAGGAATCCACACAATGCTCAGGGCCACTAGCAATAAAATGAACAACCTGTAGATGTAAATAAACAGCAGCAATTAGTAAGACAGCAAATAAGTCAGGAGACTAAGGCTGTTCAGTGTATATTTTGGAAAAGATTATACTTCATTACCTTCACTTTCAGTTTGCATACGAAGTATATCTAATTGATTTGAGCTCTGTTGTACATGTGCTGTGCCTTTAAGACCCAAAAACAGGTCAGCAAAACCTATACGATGTGGTTATCCACCTGGTGTGGTAAACTGCAGAGGAATTGGTGGTGGATCAGATCCACTTTCGTTAAACTAGTTTGTATGCATATAATGATAACATTCATTTTTTTAGATACTTGTGTACAAATGTGTCCAAAATGAAAGTGTTCTAATGTTTTACCACAAAGCATTTAACAGAAACTACCTGCCCACTACCATGAGCTCTCTCTCAGAGGCCCGGAGCCGGATTCGTTGCCAAATGTCCATGGTGAACAGAGTGCTGCTACTGTTGAATATAGAGGTGAGAGAGGACATGAGCGCTGCCATCATTACTGCGATCATCAGACCTCTCAAACCTACAAAACAATGACAGTGAAAAAAGGAATAGATAAGCATAACAAGAACAATATCAGCGCAACAAGATGTTGTATAGGAACTTATCTGCTAAGTGATGCGCTATTTTTTTTCTGGTGCATTATAGACTTAAGAATATATAATATTACAAAGTCTATTAAGAATATAGACTTCGAATATAAAAAGTACTTTGAACTATATTTTTCCATTTCTGATATTTGAAGTGCCACTCTGCCTCTGCTCATCAAAATCATATCTAAAGATAAAAGATCTGAAACAAGCATACAATTGAGAAATTCTGGCAAAAGTAACATTAACATTTCTTTTTTTAAAATAGATAAAACCATAGACTTCCATTGATTTTATAACAGGTTAATGATATACCCCTAAACATACCCATCACAGAAACATGAGCAAACACACACACACATGAACTGGGGATCTTCTTGTTATGAGACGACTGAGCCACATATTATATATATAAAATTATGATACTATATCTATTCAAAAATAGATTAATTGTTAACATTTTTGTAAGCTTTTCATTTTTGACAAATGATCCTATAGGTGACAAAGGAAAATTTCAACTAAATGAAAAACATTGTCATACCCACTGGCATGAGCTCCACAACTAACTTTGGGTAAGCAATGTTAGAGCAGCCAACACGGACCCCACAGATCTTCACACACTCATCAGGATCCACACATCCTACTTCATCTAGAAAATACACAAACATCATCACATTATGCCACGAAAACAGAGATTTCACTTTTAACCAAATGAATGGTGTGGATAATTTATTAAAAGAACATAAACCCCTTGTCATTGGTTTAATAAATGTTCGTAACTTTATTGTTCATAAATCTATAGGGGAAATGCAAGGATGACTGAGCGTACTTGGGTAAAGAGCTCTGCTGATCATTCCTGGCATAACAACGAAGAACATAGGGAAGACCTTGAGGTAGCCACCGAGTACCGAACCACCTTTGGCATGGGACAGGTTTTTGGCAGACAGAGACCTTTGCACTATCACCTTCAAACAATGAATAGATGCAATTGCTTGATGTGAAACAGTTGTTAAGCTTAAAGATACATATTTGTAACTTAAATTGTAAATTGACATAATGCACCGATAGTCTTCTAATTCTGTTTCACCTGGTCTGTGCACCACACCCATGTGGCAAGAACCATGAGTCCAAAGATCAGGCCCGGCCAAGGAAGGTCTCCTGTCACTGGATCTCTGAAGATATGAAAGGCGTCAGACCGAGGAAGATGACAAGTGGTGTTGGGAACCGTGATGTCAGGTACAGCGTTCTCATACTGAACCAGCAAACCCTCGTACCATCCAACTTTGTCAAATGCTACCGGGGAAAATTCATTTGAAATGACTTTCCCAGGAATAATTAATATAATTGTACCTTTTCACGAAGGAGGGATCTATACCTATAAACATGAGGACAAATGCTCCTATAACCATGATGACGGTCTGGAAGGCATCAGTGTAGATTACAGCTGTCAGCCCACCTGAATTAAGACAAGCCACGAGTTGCTGCATTTCAACTAGAATCACATTTAGACATTAGTTACCTAAAATATTAGTGTGGTTTTATTACCAGCTATAGTATAGAGTGCAGTGACGGCTAGCAGCACAACGGTGGAGACATACAGGTCCCATCCAAGTGACACCTGGATGAATAAAGCCCCTGAAAAAATGTCTGTCTGAAAAGAACACAGTTAATGCTTATAATAAACTTTAATATATGTAGTATATTGCTATGCAGCATTGCTTGTTTACTCTTATTGAAGACCATATAGCATACTGTATTGTTGCTCCTTGGTGTAGTTATATCATCCAAAAACATGTTTTATGATAATATATTAGCAAAAGTATAACAGTATTTTTTTGTGCTAATATATCAGATTAGCATTCCTTCCAATGGTTTTTGTTTGTTTGTTTTATTGTTTTTATGAATATATATATTTCATTAAATATATAACAAATATTTAATAATTACACATTCATATATTAAACAAGGAGTCTTACTGATATCTTGGTGAAGATGTAGAGGATGAGAGACAGCACACTCATGTAGATTCGGATGCGCTGACCCCCGAACCTCTTCCTCAGATACTCTGGCATTGTGACCACACCAGCAGAAATATACACAGGCACAAAAATCCAGCCCAAGGCAATAAGGACCCACGCTGCCTACAGAACAATCACACTCGAGGTCTGATACGAGGTTTTGTTTCAGCATGTGATGCAATAAAACGGTCAAACATTTGTTTAGCCCAAGACAACTGCAATCTAACAAGTGAAATCAGTAATTACTGAAACAACACTGAAAGCTTGTAAAATGAGGAATAATTTGTCTGCCGTACATTCCACTCAAATCCCCCGACTGCAAGTCCCCCCGCGGCTCCTGTCCCTGCTAATCCAATGAACAGGCCACTGCCTACGTTACTGGACATCAAAGAGGCACCAATCTGTTGAAACACAATACTGAGAAAACACTCTCAAAACCAAAGGAAACTATGATAACTCAAGCTGAAAGAAGCATGCCTTCACACTGACTAAACACAAAGTCAGCTGTCAAAATATTACTTATTTAAGTGCAGTATGTATATATGATTTTTAATTTAGTTTCAAACTTTACACATTCACTCAATATGTTTACACGTAATTAATTATTTTAAGAGATGTCATTATTTCCCTTTTCCTGGTTGTAATTCCAGACAAAGGCTTTGAACATCAAGTTTCTTCCTTGTAGGCATGCACAAGACAAATATAATTTCCAGCTTTATTATTAAGAGTAGGCACCGTAAAGAGACAAAAACTCACTGGCCACCATGTCATGGATCGTCCTGCCAAGAAGTATCCTCCCACTGTCCCACGGTTGGCTCTGACTGAGGACTACAAATCAGAAATCTCTAGCATCAAAAATTAGACATACCGAATTCTCTACATCAATGCAAATGTTGCCAGAGAGGCTGCAAACTTTCACTTACCCATATTCCAACTGCCAACACAAACAAAAAGTAGACTACAACCACTGCGATATCAGCAGCCTCTAAAGCAAACTTCACAGGCACCTCGGGCTCTGGGGTGCCCGTTACAAGCTCAGGTAAAGCTGGCATTTTCTACAATGCCTGAGGCAAAAGTGTGAACTTTGAAGCAGGTGCTGATTTCATTAATAATTAATCAGCCTGTTTCAGAGAATGCTGAGAATGCATGAGTTACACATTATATGACAGATACACATCACCACATGATGACGCTGTAAACTAATTTACTTAAAAAACTAAGTTAACAGCTTATGTTTTTATATTTGAAGACGAACACATATACATACATGAATTGGATATATATATATATATATATATATATCCTAAATAAATTAAATTCAATAAAAAGACAGAGACTGACTACAAATATTGCAAGATTTTTTTAATTGCAGAGTGACTTATAAAAACAAAACAGTAATTTTGTACATGCGAGACATCATTAAATACTCAATGTGACATTCAACTGCATCAGTCCATTCATTTCTTCTTCCAGAATTTGCTGTAATCATCAACTTTGAAATCATCCTCAAAATCCTCCAATTTCTGTGTAGCTGCTCTCTTCGGTCCCCTTTTCCGCATCCTGATTTTCCTCTCCTCCTCAGAGAGGGTGGTGATGTCCACGGGCATCTGGCAAAAGAGTAAAAGTCACATACAGACCGAAGGTACTTTTCTTTTCTTTTTTTAAAGCTTGGCTTCATTATGAACAAACCATTGTATGACAGTTCTTCAAAGAAATTCTACTTTTGTGTTTCAGAGAAAATAACAGCATAGCAACATGATTTTCATGGCAGGATTTTCCTTTTTGCTTGGATATATATAAACACTAACCTTCATTATTCTTTTGGGCTCTTTATATCTGATGTTGATGGTGGACCCGTCAGGTCTCACTAACAGAACTGGATACATCCTCTCATACTTCTGCCTCCCAAAGCGGACCACACAGGTTCTGTTGGAGTCTGACTGAAAGACTGTGGTGTGAAATGTGGATGTGGCTTGCAAACACCTGTGGGTGACAACAGCCTGAAGACACCTGTGCAAAACAATAAAAGGACATTAAACATCTAAACATTCCTGAACATCAATGATTACGCTTCAAATAGCTGCAGTATAATACAAAAATAATGCAAACATTGTAGCTTCAGAATCCGACTCATTTGATGTCATTATTTGCGAAGTCAGATAGATTCAGGTTTTATGTTATTTGTAAAGGGAAATAGTTAAGACACTAAAATCCTTCCATGAACAGGTCTTTTGAATGGTAATACATATATGTTAAATGGGTAAAATCAGTGGCTTGCCTTCGCATAAAATTTATGTTTGTTTAACTTATATGTACAAAACCAAAAATTCATTGTAAAGGCAATGATTAACGTTACCACACTACGTTACATCAAAAGACGAGCGAACACAAGGAATAATCGGTTCACTACTTACCTAAATAAACTCTTGCACGGCTGGCCAATTGCATTTAAAGCCACGATCATATTTGCAACCCTGGAAACGGCTATATAATAAATGCCTTCATACGTGTGAGAAGAAAATAGCACAACTGTTCGAAATGAAGAAGGTCACCATCAACAAACATGGCATGGATGTGTGTCAGAATAAAATGCTCCGCCTGGAAACTTGTACTGCAGCTTCTAATAGTTCCGCTATCTGTTCTCTTTGGATTTTAGTTCACATTTAGAATAGAAATAAAACCTTTTTTTTTCTTATTGTGCATAACATAGATTCACGAAAGCCAACTTCTTTCAGACTTAATAATTAAACCACAATTTAGCATGCGATGTTTTATTAAATAATAATGTATGAAATACAGCCTGTCGTAAAACCGTTTAGTTGATTTATTCGTAGGTACTAGGTAGCTATATAATATAAAAAGCTACAGTATACATCAGTAAAATTCTAAAAGCCTCAGTCATTTTCTCCTCATTAAAACAGTTTTGTAACTAAAGAAATATGATAAAAAGTTGTTTTATTTTACATGGAGCAGCCTCATGGGGGCAGGCTTGTTGAGATCACACCATCATCATCATTATCATCACATCATCATTTCGGTAACTTCCCGACAACAATATCTGTATATTGATGTCTTTAGACAATTGGATGCTTGTCTAAATTTTAGATAATAGATTTTAACTCTCTAAACTTGTTTGTCCAATGAAGTAGTGGAAGTGGGAGCCGCTGTCTTCTTATAATGTTCTGCCAGTCTGTCTGCCTCTCTGTGTCCTGAGAGAAGAGCTCCTTGCACTGTGCCATAAAGAGTCTTCATCGTTGCCTCACCTGCAAACAAGACCTGAAGATCCTGAAATATATGAAGTGAAAATTTCTTTAATAGCATACTTCATTGCTAAATGACAAAGAGAATCAAAATCAAAGGATGACCTCTTTTAAACATACTTCTAGCTTTATATGAAAACGTCATCCTTAATAGCCTATATCTAATACCTAATATATGCATATTTCAATAATTCAAATAACTAACCATTACTAATTTTAATTCAACATAATGGTAGGCAATACAATGAAATAAAATATCACATACTTCACCAGGACACCGGCTACCCACTAGGGGTTGTGCCAACGTGTCCATAACTTTCCCATCAACACCAACAGGGAGGAAAGTGTAAGTTCCCTTTACGAACTTGTTGCTGCGCCACTTAGTGCTAAGAATGGACTTTGGCTGAGGAATGTTTGAATGTCCTTGGGAATAAAGAAAATATTACATGATGACAAAAACTTTTTAAGTAAACTTTTTAAAAACTGAATTAATTTTAAGTTGAGTAACAGACATATCATTAAAAAGTAATACAAGTAATGATATGGATATTTCTTTAAAGAGGATTTCTTTACCAAAGAACATTTTGAGATGATCAGTGACAGCAGTTGAGAGTTCGTCATCTGTCATGGTTTCAATCAGGTCAGCAATGTCTCCTGGACACCAACCAATTAAGATATTACCAAACCTAGAAAAGAGAAAATGAAAGATTAATAAACGTTACAATGTAAAAGGAGTCATATTATATTTTTTTCCTGAGGTACACGAATAATGTTACTAAAGTGTTTTGCTCCATAAACAGTCATAATAATTATAATAATAATGATATGTTTTTTGAACCACAGGTTTTGACTGATTTTTCTACATTTTACTATTAATATTAGTTCTGCTGTTTAGTATACATATCCAGATTTCTCATACGGCATTTATACTTGTAAACGTGCATGAATTAATTTAACATTAACATACAAAAATGTTCATTTAATGCAACATTAACCTTTCTTTGGGTCTCAGGACAGAAAAGTACTGCAAGTTCTTGAGCCACTGCATTTTATTGGTGGATACTGAGGCAGGCGTGTCATCCTCATAAATGAGGCTGATAGTACCAACTTCATTCTCCCAGAATGCCTCTTCATACTCCAGAAAGATCTTGGCAATATTGCCAAAGCACAGCTTATCGATGACCTCCATTTTCTCGGTTGGGAGACCGGGGATGAAGAGGCTGGAAGCTTGAGCTTTTAGACAACCTTCAAGCACACACACCCCCACACACACACACACACACACACACATATAAATGTGCCAGTCTCACTTCAGACAGCATGATCATCCTCAAAATACTCAATCCTTATCAACACATACCCAGTGAAATGGTCACTATTACATGATCGGCAAGAATCTCTTCTCCATTCTCACAGACAATACAAACTGGGTACTGGCGGACTTTTTCATCAGAAGCAGCTTCAGTGTGAGCAGTCGGAGAGGGGGCTACAGCGAAGGATCCATCCCATTTGATCTTACTAACTTCTCTTTTCAGCAGCAAACAATCCTTAGGGAAGTCCTCCAGTAGTATATCTACAAGCTGAAACATTAAACTGACAGACATATAACAATTAACACTAAATTAATCATTTACTTAGCAATAATTGCAAATGAATGCAGATCATCTTCTCAACCCATCATACCCTGCAATATTGAGACTGTCACCCATGTTGATATAATACTGCCAGGAGTCAAGAGAGATCCTGTGGAGGTCTGAAGCTCCAACGTCAATCAGCATGTCTTTGCCAACCAAAGAAAAAACACTCTGCATTCTCATTTTCTCATCCTTGTCTTGCAAGCTGTCAATCACACCTTGGGTTTTTTCTGCATAGTGTTCACCTAAACTCTTTCCCGTGTTGAAACCACGGTGTTGAATAATGCCCTCCCCAGCTTCATATGCACGTCTGGCGAAGTTTGCATCCACTTTTTGTCCCTTGTTACTGTAAAATGCTTCTGTGCCCATGTCAGGGACCTGGTTTAGAAGGCCAGACTTTTTTAGTAGACAGTAAACAGGGTTTTTTTCTGACGCCCCATGGATGTACTGAGCTCCAGTATCAACACATGCATTCCCTTTGACATGAAAAAAAAAGAAAGACAGTGACATATACTGTTAGATATGAATTCAGCATATAATCTAAACACTTCTATGGCTGCATTAGAGGACCAGAATTTAACCAAGTTTTAGGGCAAAAACAAAAATGTACAGTGACAATATGCCCCAGATATTTAAAATAGGTAGGGTAAAATATCGGATTTAAACTGAATTTAAAATCATGTGATAAAGCGGAATCATTCTTTTGACAGCAAAAACAAAAACAAAAACAAACAAAAAAACAAACAGAAAAAAGGACTATTTAATGGAAGTGAAACTAAGTCATGGGTCCATAGATTTCAGTTTCCTGAAACAGTTTCCTCTACTTTTAGCACACAACCCTACTTTTATTTATTTATCATAAGTTAAAACAATGATACAATAATAAACGTAATTAACAGTCATAATTATTATTATTAATAATACATAATACATAATTTATTTCATTGTTATAATATTATTGCATAACTTTTTAGCCTATACATTTTCTATAACTTTTTACTATAATACACTTATCATTTGTCACGTGTTGGTATTCAAATGATAAAGTATGCTATACGAGGTATAATGTATTCACCAAGAGTTGCAGAAGCTACTCTTCCTCCGACCTTCTCGGAGGCTTCCAGCACCGTGACGTCATTAAACCCGTATTCTTTCAGCTTCTTGGCTGCAGAGAGTCCGGCCACACCAGCACCAACCACCACGATACATGGGTTTCTGAGTGTCATGTCTATAATATTGAAGAAGGTATTACGTTAACCCTAAATGCACTGCAGCTTTGCTTTACTACAAATAAGATGCATTACTAGACAGTACATTGTATTCCTATCACCACCAGCTTTTTTAGCTTTTTGAATTAATTTGTAGGTTTAGACGAAATATGAAGTTAAAGTTAGACAATAGCTATAACGAAATCTTTACTTACTTTGTAACGCCGCTAAATGCTGACTATCCACCTTTATTTAGTTGCATTGCTTAGTTCCACTTCCTGTTTTCCTGCCATGACTTCATTTCGGTTTAGAGGCGGTGTTTTATTTTGTTCTGACTCAGAGCCAGGCGGTCTGAAGCTAAACTAGAAGAAACACGTCGTCATGGTTTCCCCCCCTCGGGTCGTTGTATAGTTGTCCAATAGAGGGCAGAAAATCCTAAGAAATTTTGTCTAAATTTGAACACCTGGGATGGACTAGTCATATTACAGTTCTTCTGAATTGCTGAAACCCTGAACCCCTAAACCAATTTTTCGAATAAATCACTCTTTCTGTAAAACCTTAAACAAGTTCAGGCAGTTCACCATTTGAAAATCTCATGCACTCTTTTTGCAAAACTCTAAACACATTCTCACTCACTAAAAAACACATCGCACTGTCTGTGATGCACTTGTGTTGCAAAACACTAAAACACAGTTGTCATTGTTTACACACAACAACTCAAAATTGTTCACATTTCTAATGATGTGATCAAACCATCTGTTCAAAATAAGCCCTGAATGTACTGAATGCACTGAATGTAGATATGAACAATAGAAGGAAAAGTATGTAAGAGATGGTGGATGAGGAGGAAGAGGATGAGAAAGAGCAAGGTGTGGACAGTGTTGTCAAGGCTGAATCCTGGGGGTTTTCGAGACGACATTGCCTGTGATGTGGACAAAGTCCTCAGTCAGGCTGGACCCACCCAACATGAAGATGTGATGCTGAGGCAGAATGAATCTCTCACTGACTTTGATTTAGCAGTTTCACAACTGAGTGTACTGTAACATGCTTTTCATTTCGAGTTTTTAAAAAAACCTTATTGGCTTTTGCAGTTGGACTAATGTATTTTTACAGTATACAAGTGCTGAATATACAGACATTCAGTAATATTCAGTACTATACTTCCAATGCGAGACAGCAATTTGTAGTGGTGTCCGAAACCATAGTGGACGTTATTGAGTGCACTTATTCAATCCCACATTGCACTGCAATAACGAATGTACAACTGCTACGCTCAACGGCTGTCCGAATTCGCTCACTCCTTTTCATTCACTCCTTCAAGTGAACAGTATCAGTGGACTATAGGGAATAGTGATGAGGGTTTAAGGGGCGATTTCGGATTCCGAGATGGTTTTAAGAAAGTGGGTAATGGTTTCGAGAAATGTGTTTTAGCATTCTGAAAAACTGTACATAAACGTCAGCAGGATTGATCCATTCAAGTGACATAGAAACACAAAAATGTAAAAGAAAAAGTACACATGTTCATGATGGGGTTAAACAAGAGGTGCACTTCCTTTTCTTTAATGATAAAATGTCTTGCCCTTAGGCTTTCTCTGCTCAGACAATATTTTTTAAAACAGATGTATTGGAGCGCAGAAACACTTCATGCAAAACTATAATAAGCAGTCAAAATGCACATTTTTAATCAGTGTCTTCTAAATTCATCTATCTGCACTTACAGCTGCTTTGCAAAGCTGACTCTTTTCAACACCCAGAGTCTGGCCAGTGGAGAACCAAGCAAGCCATTCACTTTTGTCACAATACGAGCCGCCCTTTTGTTCAGCCAGGCTCGGATGAATCAGTGACCTTATTGTGGCATTAATTCATCATCGGTGTAATTTATCATCTTTTGCCATCATTGTATGCAGCTTAGTTTACAATAATCTGTGGTTTGTCTCAAAGCAGGGTTGAACAGATCTGATCCAGCGAGAAGCAGGTGAGGGGTGAAATCATGTCTTTTACACAAAAAAGCTCAGTGAAAAGACTACACCACCAAACAACAGGCGTCTTCTGCTGCACTCAGGGGGAGTGACACTGCCCTCCACTCTCATTGTTTATCTTTGTTTGGACGGCCAGTGACTGCATGTACGGACAATTTTGATAGCTTTTTATGATTGTGACAGAAATGTGCCCCTGAAAAGATACTTTACACACGCAAGTTACGCAACACACGGTTTAAGTGTGTTTTATCTTTAAGAAATTATCATAAATCTGTTGTTGGTCACATAAATATGAGTGTTTTGGAAACATCAATGTGATCATATTTCTCAAGATGATTAGATGACGACTGAAGGATATTGTGGGATTTGGAGAATGTTTGGTTTGAGAAGGTATAAGGACTGTTTCCCATGGTGGCGTTTTCACTTTATGATGAAGTAACTTGTCAGGGCAGGACAGTCCAGGGGCAATGCGCTGTATCATCTGTTTGTCGACAGACAGTACCACCCCAAAAACCCAAATCCCCCTAGACACAATGCATGCTATATCTGCAGTATATACAACTGTGCATGTGCATTGATAGTTTATACACTTTCTAAGAAAAGTGTCCTGCATTTTCTTATGAATTCCATATATATAGTGGTCCCAAAAATATTTGGGCACTTAAGACACAATGTAAATATCTTTGCATCACGTATCAAAACAATGGCATTTATTGTAAAGAAATGTAGCACAAGCACACTACAAAAAATGACAAAATGAAGTTTATGAAGTTATATTTAGGCCTGGTTTTACAGACAGAGCTTAGATTAAGCCAGAATTAGACCTTAGTAGGAAATTTATAGATTTTCTAAACACGCCTTAGGAAATAAATGGTTGCACTTTATTTTACAGTCCTGTTCTGCATGGAAATACTATGTACTTATTATAGCAATTAAAATAACTGGGTTATATAGGTACTAACCCTGAACCTACCCCAAAACCTAACCTGAAAAGGGTTAGTTCACCCAAAAATGAAATCCTGTCATTAATTACTCATCCTCATGCCGTTCCAAACCCGTAAGACTTTTGTTCATCTTCGGAACACAAATGATATTTTTGATAAAATCCGAGAGCTTTCTGACCCCACATAGACTGTAACATAATCCCCACTTTCAAGGCCCAGAAAGGTAGTAAATACATGGTTAAAATAGTCCATGTGACTACAGTGGTTCAACCTTAATGTTATGAAGCGATGAGAATACTTTTTGCGCGCAAAAAAACCCCCATGTGAACAGCATCAGAGACTGACACGGAAGAGAATAAAATGTTGAAAAAAGTAGTTATTTTTGATAGTTTTTTTGCACACAAAGTATTCTCATTGCTTCATAACATTAAGGTTGAACCACTGTAGTCACATGGACTATTTTAATGATGTCTTTACTACCTTTCTGGGCCTTGAAAGTGGCAATCACGTGTCAGTCTACGGGGGATCAGAAAGCTCTCGGATTTCATCAAAAATATCTTAATTTGTGTTCCGAAGATGAACAACATGATGGTGAGTAATTAATGACAGAATTTTAATTTTTGGGTGAACTAGATACCTTATATTACCAGTATTTTCTTGGATAAGTATACTGTAAGTACACGTACTGTAAAATAAAGTGTAACCAAAAAAACATTACTGGTTTGCTTTCAGTTAAAACAGCTTTATGATTTCAATTAAGGTTAATAGTTAGCAGTATGAATCGTTTTAGAAAATTGTTTTGGGAAAGTGAAGTTTGTTCTGAGAACTGTGTTATTATTTGCAGATGCTGCTTGATTTTATATTTTGCATCTAATCAAAGCAATACAATTCTGCCAATTTTTAAATGTGACTTAAGTGTCCATACTTTTTAGCCAATGTGAACAATATTGAACATTGATTGAAATCTTTAGGTAAATTAATTGTATGATAAAAATGATCTTTTCATATGCATTGATCATATACAAAAGGATGCAGTAGGTCTTTAAGTTGGTGTTATTATCGACCAGAGATGACAGAAGCTGCAGAGCTCTGTGTGGGTGCAACTTTCTCCCAGCACAGTAAACAGCAAAAAGTAACCCAAACAATACCACGTTTGTTTTGCGCATCAGAGAGCCCATTGTGCGCCTGCTGGTGAGCTCTCCATCAGTTTCTCCTGGCACAATGGGCGAATGGTCCCCCCGGCCGCGCCCGTTCTGCCTTCTGATACAAGAGATGGGTGTGTATGCCAGTCATGTCATCCGCTTGTTTCAGAATCAGCCTGGCATGGCTGTATTTGTAAGACTAATGACAGCATGGCTGAGAGAAAAGCATGATTATGTTCACTCATGTAATCATTATGCCTCAATGCTCCTGTCTACCAGGGCAGGGGAATCAAAAGGAAATGTGAGACGGCAAGCCAAAAGCTCTCATCTTCTCACACAGGGGAAGGCCGTTAGACAGTGATAACAGGGCAACTCATCCCTTACATTTTTTTTTTTAGAAACTCATCTCAATCTCAAAGGACTGCATTATACATGCTTCACCATATTTAAACCATTCATTAACAGAATGGTTAAACTAAACGGCATACAATTTCGACCATTTGCACGCTTTCTTGCTATTATGTGATACAAATTAAATGTTTATTTTTAGTATATTTGCACATGCTTTGTAAAACATTATTATGATTATGTTACCATTATTATACATAATACATATACATTTAGGCCTGTGGAACATTAATTTAATATGCAATGGAATAAATTGCTTGGTAAAATATTAAGTAAATAAATCAGATATTCAGATAGTGAATATATTTAATAAGCAATATAATATATTGAATTATGGAGTTCAAGTAGGCTATTTAAAATATTTGGGTTATGCTAGCTAGCCTATAAGAAGGCTTCAGTAAGTATTGCAGGTTGATCTTTTCATCTTTTATTATAGCCTTGACATAGGCTCCATCATAATTGCGATTGTAAAACACAACTATTAATCTTTAAATCTGAATCGGTCATCAGTCCATCAGCCGTGACTTAATATCTATGCAGCAAATATTTCTCTGTCTGGCAAGGAGCTTTGGGGAATGAAAGACTAAGGTCACATCTTCTGCAGAACAATATTCAGAGCTGAATAAGTGTTGGCCGACCGCCCAAAAGCAGACTAATATTTTAAGTGCTGCTGGTTAGTGTCTACGAGCTTATCATATATATTAGGGAATCCGTGTTATATAATTGCAATATATAATGTTGATAGGTTTGGTCCAATTTCTCAAATGTTATAGGACAATTTAACTACGCATGCCTACAGAAAACATCAGTCATTTAAAAATGATTTTGAATAGTCTAGCAGTTAGCTACCCC